CCAGTGTGAGTCCAGCCTTTGACCACTGCACCCAACATTTCCCCTTCTGGCACATGTGGTTTCTTTATCTTCCAGAAAGTAAAAAAATACTCATAAAGGACAGAGGTTTGATAACATTCTGACAATTGTCTTAAGCAAGGAAAATTACAGATGATAATCAAAGAGAACTTCCAGAGACGTATTAAGAAGATACAGTAGCATGATGAATAGCGTCTTCATGCAGAACGAGAAAGACCATTTTAAATTAAAGGGCAAGCGATAGTTGGTAAGTGTAAGAGGGACATGACATAAGGATCAGAGATTGTAGAGGCGACCAACTGTTTATGTGATCACAGTTGCTGAGCTAGCACCACTGAGATTTTTCGGTTTGAATGCAGACAGCCGCCCATGATTGAAATGGGTTCTCATGTTGTCATTAATTGATGGTTTCAGCTCATTCACCGATTATTGCCAAAAAAACACCATTAAATTTGGGTTTGCGCTTAATGAAGCAAACCATTCCAGCTCTGAGAATTAGAAATGTTGTTTTGACAGTTATACAACCAACGTGTCTCCCTGAGGCAGGGCTGGTGGGAAGTGCTGCCCCCTAGCGTGCCGCCCTCGTGTTGTAACGCAGTGCCACCAAATAATGTGATGAGTACTCTTTGGTCCTTTCGGTAAAGTCACGTAGTTAGAAATTAAATAAAACAAATCACGACGTTTCGATCGCAACACAAGCAAGCGGTCGTGATCACGCCTGATCACGACCGCTTGTGCTGCGATCGAAACGTCGTGATTTGTTTTATTATATTTTTAACTACGTGACTTTACCGAAAGAACCAAAGAGTATGGATTCCTGCAGTTACGAAAGCTTCAAATCAAGAATGTGATGAGTGTCGGTGAGATATAACTTGCTATTTCAAAAGTAGTTCTCTGATATCTAGTTCCAAGGACCGTTCTCTAACACGAAGTGATTCGCTGCTCTGTGACAGTTCTAAATTGATTCGTTCTTTCTTGACGTGACGCTGATAACACCATTGGAATGAAATTGGGGGGAAAGACAAACAAATGTTTAAACAAATCAGTCTTGTAACTTCTTTCGACATAATCTACTATATTATGTAATGTAAAAATGTTCTCTGTAGAATATGTATTAATATTCTATATTTTCAGTGTTTTTCCATGCAGGTAGAAATCTACTTATTAACAGTCTACCCACGTGATAAAAAAAACATTTGATGACAGCAAGGGGAGGCCTTTGTCCAGCAGTGGATAGATCACGGGTGCTGCCGATCAATCATTCATATTATTTGCATAGGAAAGCCAAAGGGAATACAGTATCGAGGGTCCGTCTGACATTGAGATGTTCGGCGAATTCGATGAATGAGTCTTTGGCTTCAAATGTGAGGAAACCTGTAGCAAAAACTCATCACACATTGGACAATGGGGCGACCTCAAGACTGCGACCTCGTGGTGGTGGGCCACCCATCCGTATGTATGGTGAACTTCTTTCGCACCGTACGTAGCCAACCGCGCTAATCGGTGTTGCGGGGAAGGACAACACAACACCCAAGAACTAATCAGGCTCAACCATGCTTACATTGCAAGAGTCGACAATTTCGTGTGACTTGGTCGAGAGCAAATTCAAAATACAAATTGAATTCAAGTAAAGTCAAAGTCCAAAACTTCTAACCGGCCGTGTGTTTTTTTTTTACTTCTGGGCACTTTGCTCAGGGGCGAATCGTACATACACATCATTCCACGTGCAGCGTGCAAGCTGGTATATCTGATCCACGAACGGCTCCAATAAATGAGGGTGTATACGTGCAACCCAAGGCACAACTTGGGGCTTACGTAACCTCTTCATCATGCGCGTGCTTGACGAGTATGTGATGACGCACACCGCGTCCCAACCACCCCACACACGCACGCATCACATGCGCAGACCACGTGGCAGGCAAATCCGCCGCTCTGATCCGTACAGCACACCGATGATGCTGCTGCTGCTGCTTGCAGCTTGCCGCGTGGCGATCTGCAGCAACAATACAAGCCGTTGTTTGATCATCCCCACCCCACACTCCCTCCTCTCTTTCTTCTGTTGTTATACCTGAGTAAATTGCAGCAGAGTCTGAGCACATTTAGACGAACGTTTGGAGATAAATTGGGATTTTGTTTTGTGTCCGTGAGACATCTCACTAAGTATAGTAATTCACCAGCGCGCATGGATTGATGGCACTTGTGTGTTCGTGATAGCCCTGCTGCAACAGAGTTAATTACAGGTCGGTGGATTAGCTACAGTATATTTATATCGGTTGTTTGTGCATGTGTATCCGAACGCCCTCAACCAAGTAAGCTGAAATGTGCCGGATTTAGTTTGACTGTCGGAAGCTAAGCAGGGATTTGTGCTTTTAAGGGCGACGTCCATGCATAATAGGTGTTATGGGCTGCCGAGCTATGCGATGGGGCAGCAGAGGGCAGTAAAGTATAATCCACAGTTGTACTGGACTTGTATTGCACCCCCCACGCCAATGCTTAAGGGGCCATACATAAATGACGTCACGCGATTTTGGACGATTTTTAAACCCCCCCTCCTTCGTCACACGGCGTCACAAAAAGTCAGACCCCCCCCTCAAATATGACGTCACAAAGCTCTGCCCCACCCCCCCCCCCAAAAATAAAACATGCTTCAAATCGCTTTAAACTATTGTCATTGTAGTGCGTATTTAATGTGGCGCTGAACTCTGATGTTGTAGGAGAAAACATCAAAGTCTATTTAATTAAGTAGAACGTGTTGTCTATATTGTATTTATTTAAAGTTGCGCATTTTGATGTGACGTCACATTTCTCAAACCCCCCCTCTCGTCACACATCGTCACACATGTCTGACCCCCCCAGGTGCGTGACGTCATTTATGGGCGGCCCCCAACGCTTTCGGCAATTACCCGAACTATCAAACCCATCGTAGGTGAAGTGTGGTCAAATTAACATCGCGCGCGTAAAGCCGACATTTAGATGACCATTGACAAAGGGCTCAACATATTCTATGGCCTTTAGAGGCTAACCACCTTCTCCTGATGACGCACGCTTGTGTTGCGATCGAAACGTCGTGATATTTGTATTCATCTTCTTGGTTATTTCGGTAAAGTCACGTAGAATGGAAATAATAAAATAATAAAATAAAACATTATAAAATAATTCAGACGCTGTCTCCCCGACAGACCTGGTCTTCACCTGAGGACGGCTGCTTGCGTTGTGGCCGAAACGTCGTGAGAATTATTTTATTATGTTTTATTTTTATTATTTTATTATTTCCCTTCTACGTGACTTTACCGAAAGAACCAAGAAGATTTGTATTCACTTTATACTTTTTCTATCTACGTGACTTTACCGAAAGAACCATAGAATATGAATTTCTGCAGTCACGAAAGTTTTACGTCAAATTTTCGGGCTCAACATGTCATATCTATTTTCTGGTATCTTGTATATGACGGAGTGTAAGTCATTTACATTGTATAGTGTAGCACCAGCAGCATTATTTTGATAATACGTGCATTATAATGGTTTGAAAGTATAGTCAAATCCGTTTTGTTATATTCCCAAAAGGAGCCTGTGGGCTATTGTTTGTGCTAATTGTGATTGCTTATGTAGACGAACATTGAGCAAATGCCACGGCGTTTGAGTCACTTTAAACACAATTGCACAACCCCCACAACATCCCATCTTCCCTCTTATTTGCAATGCAAAAACTCACAAAACTCCTTACACACAACAACACGTCAGCGATGTGAGTGTGTGTGAGTGTCTACGTTCTACGTAAAGTGTTTACAAGCCGGAACTGTGTACTGCATTAGGGCCAAGCTGTGGCTCAGCGGTTTGCGAAACGGGTAATGAACCCATCGAACCTGAGTTCGATTACCTGCCACGGCTAACGTGATAGTGTCCGCAACTTCACCGACCCCCGTATTGACCAGCACGGCGAAGGGGCCGTCCATAAATGACGTCACGCACCTAGGGGGAGGGGGGGGGGTCAGATATTTGTGACGATGTGTGACGAGGGGGGGGGGATTTGAGAAATGTGACGTCACATCATAATGCGCAACTTTAAATAAATATATACAACACGTTCTGCTTAATTAAATAGACTTAAAAAAATGTTTTCTCCTACAACCTCAGAGTTCAACGCCACATTAGATACGCACTACAATGACAATAGTTTAAAGCGATTTAAAGCATGTTTGATTTTTTTTTGGGGAGGGGGGCAGAGCTTTGTGACGTCATATTTGAGGGGGGTCTGACTTTTTGTGACGCCGTGTAACGAGGGGGGGGGGGGGGGTCAAAAATCGTCCAAAATCGCGTGACGTCATTTATGGACGGCCCACAAGTATGGCCAAACAACTGCCATGACCGACGCAGCCTGCGTGGTGGGGAAGACTTTCATCCAGGAGTATGGCTGTAAGTTAACATCAATTTAAAGCTTTCGTGACTGCAGGGATTCATCTTCTTGGTTCTTTCGGTAAAGTCACGTAGAAGGGAAGTAATAAAATAATAAAAATATTATGTTTTATTTTTATTATGTTTTATTTTTATTATTTTATTATTTTATTACTTCCCTTCTACGCGACTTTACCGAAAGAACCAAGAAGAAGTTAACATCAATTATAAATAAGCCATTCAATTCAATATGGAGCTGTCCGCTGCTGTGCTCCGGAAAAAAAAAAAAAACTTCTCCCTCCAGCCTCCCCAACGCCCTAGAGTGGGCGGTCCGGGTGGTTAGGGAGAGGGGGGGTGGGCTCTGGAAACGACTCCGTGATAAATGAAGTCTCGATTACAATTGAATTGTACAATCATCGCACGTTGTATTTGTCGAACTGGTCCTCCAAGCTCCTATCTATCCCCCTCTCACAAAAAAACAAGACCAACCCTTCCCCCCACGCCGACATCCACCCACCCACCCACCATAAACATTTTGTCATTCATGCTTTCCACCCACTTGGCCATAAAATCCGTCTGACTCTCACCGAAACCAGTCAGAATGAGGAAACGCGAAAGCTCGTAATACAACCAACCAACCACCACAAGGCTCCCGCGACAATAAAGTTTGTCGCACCGAACTCCCCCCAAACCATCCCATCCCCCAGCACCCCTCTCTGCCTTGTGTCACTTGCTACAAGCCCTGCAGCAAATTCGTGAGCGGCTCATAAAGGCACGCAGCTGAGAGCAACCGGGGTCAAGCAAACGCCGGCGTTCCCGCAACACGAAACGCGGTGGTGTCGTTTCTCCGTGGCAGGATTTAAGAAGTTGAGGTTGGAGATTCGGAGGGGGCGATGGCTGCGTCCAAGACCGACGACCTGGCCACTTTGGCAGTTTTGGACGAGACGACGCTGTTGGAAGTGCTGAGAAGCCGATATGCCGACGACCACATATACGTGAGTTAAATGAATGCAAATGTGTTTTGGGGGGAGGGGGCTTGCACGCACGCACGCTCTGGCATACTGCGGTCTTACGTAAGAAAAGTGATGTACTTTTGGCAATTGCATAATAATGGCTTGAACTTCGATCTGCTATTGCGAGACTTGTTCGCATCTTTTCCCCAAAGCTGCATTAGGTTGTCTAACCGATGTTGCTTATTTCACGTACGTACATTTGGTCGAGCACATATGGTGACACGTGTGTGTGTGTACCCAGTGTGTGTGCGCTGTGTCACGTGTGTGTGTGTTTTATTGTTGAATTGGATGTTCCAGTGGTGGTTTGTACGTACGCCATGTGTCGCGAGAGATGCGTCGTGCAGTGTGAATGTGTCGTTCTGTATGCAGTATGTTGTCGGTATCAAGAAGTATGCCGCATTGAAAAATGTGGGCAAAGAAGTGCGCACGGTAATACAGTGCGTGCTTGGAATTAATGTGCGATAAGGAACAAGAAGAGGAACACGTGGATCCAGTGAGCGCACACAAAGGCGAGAGACATCAAATTTGTAAACTCGGGAGAGGAGGCAAAATGGTTTTGGTAGCACACGTCTCGCTCGCAGGAGTGATGCCCCTTTGCTGGATGAAGGCTTATCCCAAAGTCAACATCGATCCTTCGCGGTCTCGCCATGCAACACTATGTACCCAGCATCCGCGCATGACTCAACGTCAAAACAACACGCACTCCCATAGCCACGTTGGACATCCTCTCGTGCGCGTTTCCTCCTCTGGCTGTCGTTCCGTCGTTGAGTTTCTAGCGACGTGTTCCTGCTCGAGCCCACTTTTTAACGTGCAAGATAATGCACACGTTTCACCTGTGTGTGTGATCAATAAATCGTAATAATCACGCGTGTCCCCCCTTTTTCGGTCTCTCCGTGTAATCCCAAGTGTGCGTCTCTCCACGTTCCTACGCGCACTTTTCGAGAAGTCTCCCTTTCAAGTGTCTGTGCTTTTAGTTCCATACGTCAGCTGGTAAATAGCGGGTGACGGCGTTTTTGGATAACAGAATTTGATAATGAATAGGAACAAACCGATTCGTACAAATCGGAACGTTTAAAAAAAATTGTAAGTATGTAAACCAATATAGAGTACACTGTGTTCATGCTTTTGGACATTGCTTGCACTCGTATGCAGATTTTTTTTTACAAAATAGGCAAGGTCCCATGACTGACCAAAATAGTCCAATTGTGTAACTTTTCTAAGACTTTATAACACGTGACATTATCTCATTCTCAATGAATGTCTAGAAGGTCTGACACATTTGCCCTACCCTGTTGAAGATTCCTGCGGATTCAAGGGCACACAATTGCACATTTTCAGCAACTGAAGACGTTTTTGTTGTTGTTGCAACATGCACAAAGGATGCATGCTTATTACACTTTTTTTGCGTTATTTGAAACCACAATTGTTATCAGTGACATGCCCTTTGCATTGTTATATTACAACAATACGTTTGATTACCCAGGATAGCCTCACTGAGCCTCATTGAGTCTATTTTTTTCAGGAAGGTCATGCAAAGTTTTGCGTTCGGGGACGATTATTGCTTTGTATAATCCCAATTTAGTAATTTGTCATATTTGCCAAATTTGCACGCTGACGTCGGCACACATTGGCTTACTCTTGTGAATTACACCATAGGATGTTTAATGTCCATTTCAAGTAGCACCCGCAGTAATAACCAGGGATGGCCGCTGAATTCAAACCGTGAATCTCTGTAAGAATCAGCGAATGCACTACCACATTACATTTAAAGTACACATCCTTTGAAACTTTAGCAAAATATATACCAACTTTCAGTACAAATGCACCTACAATTGATAATTATTCTCATACGATTCTTAATGTAGGTTGTGAAATTTAAACAAAAATGTTCCACGGACTTTGTGAAATAGCTTTACAACGATGTTTTCATAAACACTGATCCGGTTTTGTGTAATTTTTAAACTTTTAAACAATCCGCAAAATACATTGTGCTGGTGCGTGAGTTACATCTTGATTTGTCTGGTCTGAAAAGCTGAAGGATCCATCCTTTAGGGTTAGTGCTTCGGACACCTTTGGGGTCACTTTCTCGACTTTATCTAATGTTTTGCACTGAAATGTTTACTTTGGCCCCGTATAGATAACATTTTGGTTATCTTCGTACCCTTCATTTAGTTCGTATTCTACTTGGTTCACTTGATATTAAAACGTGATTCACAATGTTCATCGTTCTGAGATGCAATCTGCATGAATGACGTTATATAAATTAAATGTTTGTTATTCTTCACGTCTATTTGTAAGAATACTCGCTGAACATTGCCAACATTGCAACTTGTAAATGTTTACGCATGGAAAATGATGAACCTGGGGAAGAATAATGTTCTTATACCAGGGTTGGTCAAACCTACATACCCTAGGAACCGCATGGCAAAATCTGTACGTGATCGAGAGGCAAAATACACTTTGCAGATCATGTGGGGAGGTCAGGTGGGGGGAGGTCAGGTGGGGAAAGGTCATGCGGCCAATTCGCTCGCGCTGTTTGGCTGCGGAGTTTTGAGTTTGTTAATATGTGGGAGCCCCCAGGGAGTAACTGGATTATGACTTTAACTGCCTGGGAGATGCATGAAGCTTCCACGCCTCAAACAAAGTGCAAAAATGTGTACAGAGCACATAGCCTTTGGGCATATGCAAAAAATCAGCAGCAGTTCCTGAAGGAAGTGAATTGTGGTCTTCCATCGGTTACCATCAATGTAAATGGGTAATGTGACCAATTGACATCAGCAGTGATAGACAATTGTGGACTGGTTTCATCCAAAAAAAATGTCTTGACATTTACAAATATGATTATTGTTGGTCTCAGCCAAGATAATGGGCCCACAGTGTCGATGTGGAAATTCCATATACATGGTTCCCAAAGACAGACTTTGCAATAGCGAGCGTTGGTGACTATGCTGTCCTGATTAATCCTAAATAAGGACAAAGAAACAGTCCAAAGTTGCCCATATTTTGAAGAGTGTGTCTACGAATATTTGCATATCGATTCCAAGTTTGTATTGCGTCGCTCTCTCATGTGACTACACGTTATAAACATTACGCAATGCAATGCCCTGAGACTATATTGCAGAAATGGCACCGTAGTGGGACAGTTTCACAGGTGTGTTGCAATAAATGTACGATAAGATAGCAACGAGTGCAGGAAAGTAACGTTGTTGCATGGGGCTACAACGTTAGGCTCACGCCACCCATGATTAAGCGTTTATATGCATTTATATGCCTTCAATCGTGAGCTGTCTTGCGACTAGTTTATTAACATCCTGTTACCAAACCGTCTGCAATCTGTGTTCTCTAGCATTGCTGATATAACGTTTCGAAGCCGATCAAATTTGAGTGGTTGTTGGGATGCCCTGTGAGAGGAGCCAACATGTACCTGGCTGGTTTAAAAAAAAAACGATGTTCATTACTGAAGAATAACAGACCAATGTGCCTAAGAGGGGAAATATTGCGCTTGTAGATATTAGCTGCTATGACATACGGATCAGAAACGTGGACATTAATAAAGGAAATGGAACAAAGGCTGAAGGAGTGGCAACTAGAAGCATGGAGATGCACCGCATGCTTGGAATTTCATTGAGAGACAGGAAGTGGGGAACGCGTGGATTGGAGAATAATCACAAGTTAGAGCCCGCCGTTGATAACAATTGAACAAAGGATTTGGTGAGAAAATGAAGTGGGACTTGGGCAGGATGCATCACGAAGTGACAATGGCTGATGATTGATACGAACGACGGTTTCATCAGTTTCATCGGGTGCAACCGCAACAAACAAAAAACAAAAAACATGAACAAGAACAAGAAAACATCTTAAAGTGACTTTGAGCAAACAGAAAAATCCAGTGACAGTGGAAGCAGGGTAGGCGCACTGATGAGAGGTGGACGTGATGATTCAATCGGCTCTCGTACAGGTGCTTCACGAGAGATAGTGATGGGATTTGGGAGGAATTTCATGCCGATCATAACGAGTTGAAAATGTTTTATTCGTCCAAATCAATTGGCATAACACTGGTCAACACACTTTTTCTTGCATAAGGTATTCCAACGGTTTAATGTAATTTTGGGGTGCTGATTCCAAATCTGGCATCAGTTTTTGTCTATCACATCAGGTTTTTGAGATATCAAATATTGCATTTTCAATAAAAACTGCAGAAGAAAAATATTAAATAAATGTGGATATCTACATAAAATGATATTATGAACACACTATCCTAAAAATACAGCACCATATTTTAACACTAAAGCGGTCACTGACTCGCAACAACTTGCAATCATAAGTGACAGAGTTAATTTCGGGTAAGATCAATGAAAATGGGGTATGCCGATAGCATAAAAATGAGATGTGATAGCAAATCTGAGATCAGATTTGGAATCAGCACCCTAAAATTAGTCTAAAACAGCTACAAAAGTCCAGGCCAGAAAAAAAAGTTTTTTTTTGTTGACCAGTGTAATATATCAGATAGCACGATTTCCACGCACCACCCATATTTGTTTGAACTTCAAAAATATTCGCCGGATAATATTCATCTACTTTCCATACTAAAGCAGCGTTACTTGAAATTATATGTATACATGTTATTTTGCAACGTACACGTTACAATACGTTTAAAATGTGTTTTTTTTTTATTCACAGACCTACATTGGAGATATACTCATTTCAATCAACCCATTCAAGCAGCTTCCTTTGTATGAGAAAACGGTAAGTGTTTGGTCGCTGTGTGTTTTAAAAGAAATAAATTAAGTAGTATTTTTATATAACGTATAAACATCACATTCCAGAAGTGACCGCACGGCCAAGTCTTTGAGCTGTTTTGCTTAAGAGCTGCTAAACCGGTTTCGGGGCCACCTCAGCACTGATGTTGATTTTTTTCACCATTTGGCTAAGAATGGTCATTTGTTTAACTTAAATGCCACGGTATCTCAAAGCGCTTTACTAGCAGGCCTGAGCCAATGGTGGAAATTCCACATTCATATGGCAGTAGGCAGTCTATCGATAGGACAGTTTATTAGATACATGACAAAAGTACAAAATATTACAATGGTTAAACATTTGATATCGATGCAATAAAAATCCAGAATCATGGATATGTATGTAGAACTTCTTTCGCACCGTACATATCCAACCGTGTTAATCGGAGGTGCGGGAGGATACATAGTTATATACAATGAGTTGTAATTTTAAATGGTGTGTTATGTCATGACCTGTGAAATCGGTGTGGGTACAATGTAACATTATTTAATGAATGATTAAGGTTGTTACTTTGCTGATACCACAAAAAGCATTTAGTAATGTTTACATTTTTTGACCCACCCCTAATGGACATCTGCGAAAAAGACCTTCATAACACATTGGATTAAATAAAGATTCTCATTCTGATCTGGTGGAAATGGACAGGACAAGTGCTAACAACAACCAACAAGGGATAGCCTAAAATAACCGTGGAGTGACTATCGAGAGAAAGCAATAGATGCAGATGAAAACATTTGGAATAGACGGTGAGTTAAAATGAAAGAGTTCAGATCTCATTATTGGACAGGAACAAAGGAGGACAGGAGGCAATTGAGGAAATTAGGGGAGGTCTTGAAGCAGTGAAACGTTACAGGCTGAGAACATTTTCCAGACTGTCCATCATGGACAGCTGGGCTGAAAGCCTCTCAAAGTGGGACTGAGGCTCCTCATAACAACCGCCGTTCCCCACTAAGCGGCAGTGACGTTACCACGGCGCTTGTGCCAGGCTAGGTACACATTGAGGCCACGTGAAGTGTCGAAGGCTCGCTGGCAGGAGGGTGTTATGGGTTGACTGACCGAGATGCCAACGACTACCGACAGTGTCACGAGCACTCCTATGCCTCACCCTGGGCACGAAAAACTGCACAAAAAAACATTGTAAAAACAAGTTATTTTACCGGAGTTTACTTGCCCAGCTATGAGAGCTAAAGTGTGCAAGTAAATTGTTAATCATAAACATGTGGGTAAACCGATCTATAAATGGCATGAAGGACTTTAGACTGGTGCAGAGGACTTTTGAACACAACTTATTTTTTTTATCTAATCACTTGGCAGTAGCAACACAATTGGGTTAAATAGCTGCGAAAATATAAAAGCGTTATTGAAGTCAAATGAGTGTGCTTTTATGGTATAAATGTCCTGCTGATGTAATTTCTGTGTCACCTATACTTGGTATTCCATAAAAAAAACTAATTGTAGCATCCTAGGTAGTAAAATACAAAAAAAATGTATCTCCGTTATGCATCTTCATAGCAACATAAAATGTGTTTTCAGCCTGTTGATATTTTCAACGTGTATATTAAGAAACAGCATTTGTTTAAGCCATTGAGCTATGGGCCTGTACCGGATAGGTCCCATCAGAAACATTCAGGCTTCTTAAACAAAAATAGTAATCCAGTAAATGGCCCAAACGCTGTACTGTACTTTGTAACGCATGTGAGGGTCTGTTGTGACTGGTAGTTCTGCAAGTAGTGGTTCAGAGTCTGGTAACGTATCTTGCTTGTAGAATGGGGCATATCGAAGCCTATATGAGTGGCATACATCTCCCTCAAGGCTGCAGCAACATGTGACCATTTCTTAACGGGGGGGTCATAGATTAATCGAGTCAATTTGGATTCTTAAACTCATGGATACACCCATCAATTCACAATATTTGTTCTATTCATATGTGTTGTATGCAATGAGTTGACGTAACCCTCTCCAGCCACTGGATGCTGCTACATCCATAATATTGTTAAACAAACTTAATGGATTATTTTCTTGAATTGCGGCCCGAGTCATGACAGATGTATTTCATCGTTAGGGCATGGGGTGCATTGGTGTACCACCTCTACTTTCTAAGCCGCCAATAGCTACGCAGCATGGATGAGGCATTCGTGGATGGTTTGTACTAATGGATATAAATCATGATTACAGATTCATAAGAGCCACAGGCACATGACTGTACTGCACCTTTGTCAAAAACAAATGTGTGTTTATTTTTTGAAATCGTAATTGCGCTCCAAGTTCTGTCTGCGGTACCCACGCATTGCGGTCTTAAGCCTGGTCTCTTGAAACGCAAGTTTTCGAGCCACACTGTGGCTCCGTGTGTTCCCGTGGCTTTAACGCAGCGGAATGTGTTGCAGATGTCCCAGAGGTACACAGACCAACAGAAGAGCACTCTTGAACCGCACATCTTCGCCATCGCTGATGCGGCGTATCGCTCAATGCTGGGTCGGGCGGCAGCAAAGTCCTGCAATCAGTGCATCGTTATCAGGTAGAACATTGTCATAAAGCACACATCCTGAAGTTACTGTGCTGTCTGCGACACACGAATATACCAAATCGTGCGTATTGCTTGCCAATTGTACAAACACTTTCTATGTCATTGTGTCGGGAGTGGTAGTGCAGTGGTTAACGCACTGTGCTACAAACTCGACGAACAGAGTTCAATTCCAGCTGATGACCAAATACCACTGGTGAATATTTGAACTGGCCCTGGGTCTACCCCTCGGTCCACGTCGCCTTAAATGAGTACCTTGTGTGGTTCAAACTTAATTTGGAGCTTTCGTGACTGCAGGAATTATTCTTTGGTTCTTTCGGTAAAGTCACGTATCAAGATAAAATAATAAATAAAATAAAATACTAGCATACGACGTTTCGATTGCAACACAAGCAATCATCATCAGGTATAAATTAAATAGAAACACAAATCTAGTATACTTACATTACATTTCTAAGTATACTAGATTTGTGTTTCTATTTAATTTATACCTGATGACGATTGCTTGTGTTGCAATCGAAACGTCGTATGCTAGTATTTAATCTAATTTATTATTTTATCTTGATACGTGACTTTACTGAAAGAACCAAAGAATACCTTGTGCGGCGTGTAAGCAGCAGCACTGGGGAGACGAAGGTGCCAAGGTCTTGGTGCTGTCCACCCACCCCCTCGTGTACCTTGCCAGCCTTCACAGGTGCTTGACTTGGACATCTGTGAAAAAAAGCTTCAAAGCTTCGATTTAAAGCTTCTTTCGTGACTGCAGGGATTCATCTTCTTGGTTCTTTCGGTAAAGTCACGTAGAAGGGAAGTAATAAAATAATAAAAATTAAACATAATAAAATAATTCTCACACTCGGGGGTCCAAGTGTGAGAATTATTTTATTATGTTTTATTTTTATTATTGTATTACTTCCCTTCTACGTGACTTTACCGAAAGAACCAAGAAGATGAATAAAACATAATAAAATAATTCTCACGACGTTTCGGCCACAACGCAAGCAGCCGTCCTCAGGTGAAGACCAGGTCTGTCGGGGAGACAGCGTCTGATAATTATTTTATTATGTTTTATTTTTATTATTTTATTACTTCCCTTCTACGTGACTTTACCGAAAGAACCAAGAAGAAGCTTCAAAGCTCTTTGGATTTCTCCAGGATAAAGAAAAATCCTGATTCTGCTTTCTAAAAAGCATTTTCCCCAACAGTCTATTAAAGGCTACATGGGAATGTCTGGCATTGTTTTTTTTTGAATAATTGCACTTGGAAAACCATTCTTGTGTTACTGCCTTAATCAGTTTGATTGGTAATGTACACAATCGATTTTGAGAATTTTAGAAAAGGCAGATTGAGGGGAGAACTCTTTGTTGGTGTATCTTTATCTGGGAATGGATGATATTATTAGTTCCACCTTCAACTGGTATTTCCTTGTTAAGCTTGGAAAGCTGAACATTGTGGACAGAAGCGTGAAGAGGTGTGCTGAGAGACCAAAAGAGGAGCTCCTTCGTTGATTAGAGTACAAATTTAAATTTAAGACCTCCAATTACCGTTAAGAAAAGTAAGTGGGCTTAGGCAGGAAACATCGTCGCTAGAATGCATGAAGGCCAGGTGGTGAAGACTAATAACTGAATATCAGCCAAAACAGGAAACACACCCGAGGAGACCTCAACCCCAGAGGCTGTGATCAATCCGCTCGTGTGGAGGTGTTAGGGGGCTTGTTACATCGCTGGACCGTGATGGATGCTGGTGACTTGGTGAGACCTTCATCCAACAATGGCCATCACCCCATGTAGCAATATGTCCTACCCAAGCCTACTTACTCTTCTGAGAACGGTGGTCGATATGATGTCTGTAACTTCTGTATGTTCGCTGGCCCTTGTGTTCCTCTTTTCTCTCTCGGATAGTGAAAGCTTGGAGGGGGGCGGAGGCACTTAAGTTGATCGATCATGCTCCCAGTAAATCAACTTTTGTACCACCCCGTATGAGTGACGTAGCGTTTGCCATTTGGTAGTTGGAGTTGTGGTGACTCGCGTGCCCCGCGCTGTTTCTCGTTTGGCCCGCAGTGGCGAGAGTGGCGCTGGGAAGACTGAGAGCACCAAGCTGCTGCTGAGGCACATCATGGAGCTGTGCCGGGGAAACACGCAGCTGGAGCAGCAAGTGCTGCAGGTGACGGTGGCACCAACGCCGCTCCTCTGCACGCTGTCGCTCAATGATTGTGCAGAGGCGCGCTCGCAAAAAACAAGTTCCGAAAAATAATGCGTTTGCATGGATTGCGTCACGCTTTCCAACGTGCATTTGCCCTCGGGTGTATTTGAATTAGCATTGCATTTGAATTAGCGTTGTGGAAGCTGATGGGTCGCTGACAGGTCGATTCGTTATTTTTACTCTGGTTTGTGTTTTTCAAGTTTTGTGTAACCCTTTGATCAATTTGTCCAGGTTTCAATTGGGTAAGTCCCTGATACGAACACAACTTTTATACATAAGTTTTATCCATGCCCGATCATCTTTACGAGGGTTATATTGCCCACCATCATATATGTAAAAATAAATGAAAAAAATATTTGTGTATGGGTAGGGTTAGTGAGTAAAGTCGGTCAATGTATTGTCAAAATGTTGAGTCGGTGTCTCTGTGCTAAAATTCGTATTTGGTGGAGCCAATTTCTGGTGCCTTTGAGCCCTATTCTTGTGCTAGTTTCTAGTAAATGGCACATTCCTATAGTGTTGACTAAATTGGCTCAAAGTTCAAAGATAAATCCTCAAACACTTTCCGTAGTTCACGTTTCACTTCTATCTTTATTGGAGGGAGCTGACAATATATTTCAAATGTTATCGTGGGTCACCAGTGAAGTTGAGTGAGATCATACGAGTAAAAATAATAATGGATGTACTTTTTACCGACACAATGAGAAGAAGTGGAGGGGATGGGGTGCTTTTGGAAGACTGAAATTGATCGTGTCTAACAAAGGACACTTTTCAAGCGGTGCTTATTGCCAGCCATTATGGATAGATTCGAAATAAGTTTATTTTCGTGATGAACCCTATTACTTTAGCTGTGTCGGGTGGTGGTGAGTTAACGACACATGTGTGATCTAACCCAAAACACCTTTATTACGGATAATATTGGTCGCGAAAGCCGACGTGTGATTGTGTTAGCGTACCGAGAACGATGGTTATAGTGTCGGGAGGCCTTCGTCCAGCAGTGGATAGAAAATGGCGATACACACGTGTGCCAGAAGAAGCGCTGTATCTCACTGCTCTTTGAAACCTTGAGTCGTTGCTGAATGGCAGTTAACGAATTCAAACAACCATTAGCATGCTAGATTTGAAGCTTTCGTGACTGCAAGGATTCATATTCTTAGGTTTTTTCGGTAAAGTCACGTAGGTAAAAAATGTAAATTAATAAAAGTAAAATAAAAAGCAGCACGATAACTATCGTGCTGTGACGGTTCCACCTGAAGACGGAAGCTTGTCTTGCCTCCGAAACGTCGTGATTTTTAGTTGAATTTTTTTTATTTTACTTTTACACATTAGCATGCTGCCTTGTGGGTGCAAATGAGTTGTGTTAATTCAGCAGGGCTGTGCGTTTGTACGTGAAAAGAAAACGTTCGTAATACCGCAATGTGTATGCTGTGCTCAACCTCGTCTGTCGCTTTTACAGGTCAACCCTTTGCTGGAGGCCTTTGGAAATGCCCAGACGTTGATGAACGATAACAGCAGTCGCTTTGGAAAGTACATTCAGCTGCGATTCCAGAATGGGGCAGGTAAACTGGCGATGGGCGAAATGTCTCGGTTTGATAACAAGACACACACACATACACACAAAGACGAAGATCCTTAATATAGCCTGAACAGACTGTTGGGGCAAGTGCTGTTAGCGAGTAGCGCCTATGAAGGCCGACATGGCACACGAGGGGGGTAGGTGGCCAGCACCACACCCGGCCGCCTTTGTCTCCCTAGTGGGCGATGTTCATGCACTGCACCGGGTACTCATTTGAGGCTCAGCCGACCTAGACGAGGCCCAGGACCGGTTCAGATAATTGTCACTGGTGTTGGCCGTGAGCGGGAATCGAACTTGGGTCGCTGGGTTCGGGGTGCAGCGCACTAACCGTTGCACTACCGCTCCCCACTTTGATGACGAGACGCACACACAACAAGTATAACCCGTAAAAACTAAGTTTTTCACTATAAATCCTTTATATGCGTGGCGGCTAGAGTCATCTCGTCCTCTGGCTTGAGATGGCTGCCACCTATGGGTCAGATGATTGCATGGCAGCATTAAGCAATTGGTAATTAAATATAATATTTTTGTCCTAAAAAGTGTAACATTTTAGAATTTTTTTTCAAGAACATTAATTGTCACGCACAACGAGTCTGTGTGGAAAATGTCAGCTCGATTGGATCACGGGAAGTGGGTTAAAAAACGACCGAAATATTTGCACGGTCCTAAGCAAGCAAGCAAGTGAACTTAATATAAAGGATTTAAAAAAATACGCCTATGAGAAAATTGCCAATAACACGACTGGTCTCGTCATATCTCTGCAGCTAAGCAGGATTAACTCTGGAATAGGGCTTTAGTGGGCAACCACCATGCATAAAACGGGTGTTGTGGGCTGCTGTGGTGGCTACGTTTTCAACATGGGCATTACTGAAAAATCCATTGTTGTTGCTGTACTATGCTCCAAAAGTCTATATTCACCACCAAAACCGCACCGATCAGTGTGGTGAATTATGGCCAAATAACCCCCTCAACCTGCATGGTGTAAGGAGGCCCTCGTCCAGGAGTGCTTTAACAAAGGGGCTGTACACACGTACACACATCAATTGGTGGTCATGAGGGTAGTGGTGGAGTCGCAAAGCAAAGCAGCAAGGAGAGATATCTTTGTTGATTTTAGGTCCTGGTTTTATATATCGAAGAAGCAATTTCCACTTAATTTTTTTGTGTAAAACAGGAAACGCGTGGACTTTTCTCTGGCCGTATTGGCAGACTACCTTTCCGCAAACATCCTACTTAAATCCAGTGCAGTTTAAAATAGCTAAAGTCCGATTTAAGTCCAATTTCCTTATACAAATTAAGCGAAACAACGGAGGGCACAAGAACTCCATCCATCCTCGCAAACAGAGCGGACCAAACTACGTTTGGGCTTGTTCCAGTTGGACGATGCCACTGTGGTAGGCGGCAGCTGCTGTGGAACTGGGAAGGTGGTTAACTGCCTCTTCCCACTTGCAATGCGTCCTGCCTCATTGAGCATACAGCTGTCATCACTGAGTGAACAATCCTTGCACATGACACAGTCGCTGTGTCTGCCATCAAGCACAATGGTAAACATGTTTGAGAGGTTTAGTTATTTGTCAGCTATTTTTTGTTGTTGTCGTAAGATACTTTGGGGTGTAATAAATACCCGTTAATGCGCTTCTGTAAATAAGTCAGAGACGGCGGCATTTTCGATAAAAAAACCCTTAATGTTCTTGACGTAAGGGAATGCACATTACGTCTTACAAATTGCGTAATGTCTTTGACGTAGAAGTCATGCTTGTGGCATGTCCAGTGCCTGTTTGGTGTTTTGATCTTACGATTTGATTTGTCGTAAAAATAAGGTCCTGTTGCCTCGGTTACAGTGGTGCACAATTAATAATAATGCTAAACGCATTCCTCAATAAGTCTGGCCTAAAAACAACAACAAAACATAATGTCCCTTCTTTATTTATGTGCTGTTAAGAAAGGCCATTTCCCAAAAAACAGCCTCTACTATAGATGTTTAAGGCCACAGCGCTACTGACGAATGTGTTCGGTTTTTATGTTTCATAATCCATCGGTAGCTACTTCTAACATTTAATATCTACCAACTGAAGGAGGATGCAACCGATTAAACATCGACGGTGTGTGTACCGTGCTTTCTGAAACAACTTTTAGGATTTGTTCGTGCAAAGAAAAAAAGACCAAACTTTAAAGTGACGTTCAGCTGCTCTCACGTGACATCACCGTCAGTGACCCATCAAACATACCGGGAGTCTCACTGCAGTGACATCACTAGAGCACTTTTGAAATTAACTTTGAAGGCATGTTCATTCTAATATCTAAGCCTCAAACTCTTGTTCGAAAGCCCAGGACACACAGCCTTGTTGTATAGCTACTGGAGAAGAGTCTGGTGTTTTAAAGAAAAATAAAACACTTTTCTGAACAAGGCATGGATAACGTGTGAGAGTGAGGGTGCACAAAATGACCTGTAAGTTTAGCCCAATTATATATACATTCCCGTAATGGATGGCGACAGCTTCGAGGTGGGGGGAAGGCACCATCCAACAGTGTGTCGATCACAGCTGATGATGTTAAAATAAGGCGAGATGGGAGGTGCTGTGACTGATTTTCCCAGGACTGACTATGGGGCAATTGCTGAGACCGTGTCCCGTACAAAGGCCTGGGACGCTACTGCCACTGCCTCTTTAAAACGCTGGACCCTATGCCAGCGAAGCTTTTAACGTGCAAATAAACGCTCGTACCGTTTTTACGACTAAGCCTGAGGGATGGTGGCAGCTTTCGTCGGTTGTGCTTGGCGAAGCGCTTGTCAATTCACGTGCGAGTTACGGCTGTGCGTGCCGTGCCATTGCCCGCAGCTGGGTCGTGTCGGTCGGAATAGGTCGTAGCAGCCGATCAGTTGATGCTTAAGCATTTTGCTGATGTAAATAACGGCGGCACTCGGACATTTTTTGTAAAACTGCGTATCAGCAGAACTCTGTTATATGTCCCCCACATCTATAAAAAAAACCATGTTTTTATTTAAAGCCTTTCAAGACTGATATTATCCAGCAGCAATTGTTAACGCAAGCAAGAATTCTGCATGGGTTTTAACCCTCTGAAGTCTCATCGGCAGTCAGGCTTGAGAAACAAATGTTGCTGGATTACCAGATGTTATTGGCAGGAGCACTCCGTCCAGATGATGGTAAGGCTCCGTTTACTTTCTGCGAAGGCTGCACAGCGTGCCATGCTCTGCGATGTGTTTGGTGTGAAGCAGAAGACTGCGTTTGCGAAGCTGCATGTGGCTACGGGACGTTAGGTGACACGAACAGGCATGGCCGGCCGTGTGTAGGAACAAGTTTGTTTAAAGAAAATTATACATAGAAAAAAACAATACAACAAAAAAACGAGAATGCTATCTGCCAGCAATATAAAAAAATATTACTTTTTATATGAATTTATTTATTGGTAATACTTTTTTTTTATTATTGAAGGGTTTATCTGTCACTCGATAGCTCCTATTAGGTAACTTTGAATATGGCAATAAAAATAGCTGATCAACAGAAAACATATTAAAACTTAATTGTCATCAGGCCCCATGGTGTTAAGTACAGTTTCCAACCGATCTCGTTGGTGCCTCTTATTTATTCGTTGTGAAGAAGCGCCATTGCCCAAACACGTCACACTGCTATTGATGAATGTGAGATTATTTTTGTTTCAAGCCAGTTGGTGAAGACGATCACTATCCCTCGCCACTGTTGTTAGCCGTAGCTAGGAATACATCTCAGATAGCCGGATTCAGAGCACAGTGTGCTAATCGAGTGCAATATGGCCACGGTGGCGAGATGTTTACTACCTTGCCTTGTATACAGGAGGTCGTGGGTTTGATCCCAGCCTTGACGCCTGCATATTCGGAGTGTGAATCTGGGTTCTCCGGTTTTTCCCTAAACGTTTCAAAACATACGTTTAGAGTGTTTGGCTTACTTATATAAATTTTCCACGTGATAAGCCACTTCGTTTAGTTATAATTTGTGGCCCGGTCACTTCTAAAAAGAAGCTGTATAGCTCAGTGGGCCTTACCTGCTAACAAAAAAAAGTTGCATTTTTAATGAAGTGGGTTTTTTTTGGAACAACGCAACTGAACAGGTTTGGACAGTAACACGCCACAGCCTACCCAAGCCAACGACATTCTTTCTGCTGTTTTAAAATTGAGCGGCGAGCCATGTGAAATGCCTGTCTGCACTGTACGTCATGTAGATGTATTTAGTTTTTTTGTTAATGGCAAGTAAATTATTTAATGAGTTAAAGATTTAAAGAAGCATTGAGTCTACATTTCACTGGGGTAAGATTGGCTGGGAGAAGCCCCCAGTCAATCTTTGCTCAGTAGGAGGTCACTTCTCATAGGCAGCCCCTTGACCTCTTCCCTCAGCCATATTTGTGCTGTTGACTGCATACCCCTGTTCAAATCTAGGCGAAAATGCCTTTTTCACTGCCCATAACTGACTGCCTCTCGCTACTGAAAACGAAGCCTGATTTTGAGAGTGCTGCCCTCTGCTGTGCAAACCCGAGGTCACTGTAAGGGGATCTCAGAGGTAGCTCTGAGCTGTCCGCTTCCGCTGGCGATGTTCTAATTTGAAGGGTGGTACTGCTCTGCGAGAGGACCAAATAGATTATTTGTCTCATGACATGATGCAGAGCATAATTGTGATGAAATTAGGTGAAGATCACAAAAAATGTTAAAAAATTGCCCGCTCTGTCTTAATGGCGTCACATTTACACACCGAGTAAAATATTGTTGTTCATGCATTTTTCCTTTCCAGTCAAGGGCGCGAAAATCAACGAGTACCTGCTCGAGAAGTCCCGCGTAGTTCACCAGGACACGGGAGAGAGGAACTTCCACATTTTCTACTACATGTTCGCCGGCCTCTCAAAGAAAGACAAGGAGATGTATGGCTTGCTCGAGCCACAGCTCTATCGGTGGGTCGGCGTGTCCTCGTACACACCCTCAACGCATTGAAGACTACCTTGCAACTTGTAAACAAAAACCTTTACAACCAGCAAGAGTAGTAATGTGGAATTGATCACGAGCAGTGATGTGTATAATTGATAGCACCCAGTATTTGGGCCTAAGTTTTAGTTTTGAAACTGACTGGGCCTCTGCTTTTTCGTGCCGCTTTTTTTATTATAACAAAGCGGAAGTGACTTATCGATTAATTTATAAAGGAAGTTATACCATCTGCGCTGCTTATTAACCGTTCCCGCCTGTACAGCCACGGTGGCTTTCTCATGTCCAGCCCACGTTCATAACCATATCTTTCAGTCGATTTTTTAAGACCGTTTTCAGTTCAGTCCCTGGCGTTTCGGTGATGTTTTACTGTTCCAGGTCCGTTTTGTATTTCACGTGCCACGTTCGGAGACGACTTCTGACGTGTCTGCGATTAATCTGCGCTGGTCTGCGAACTTGCAGATACCTGAGCTTTCAGAGCATCGAGGATGGTCTCAGCAAATCCTTGAGCACCAAGTTCGGCGAGTTGTGCAATGCCATGGACATGGTGGGATTTTTGGAGCAGGTAACATTTTTGGAGCAGGAATAAAACATTACACCAAGTTTGCTTGAGATGTACGTAGACTCACATCGGCTGGCATTTGCGATGCAAATGTTTGTTCAAGGTGAACATGATCACTTCACCGTGATGAATCCAAAGGCAGCTTAGATTGTGCAATACCTCTATGGACAAGGGCCTTTCCATGCTGTATGGGTCATGGGGGTTATTTAATCACACTACCAGGCCGAACAGTGGAGGTTGAAGGCGGGGAGCAGTGATGTGTGTGCATAATCCTTTGTCCTTCCCTGCATCTCCGATTAGCACGGTTTTGCTACGTATGGTGCGAAATAATTCAACATACATAGTGCGATACAACAATGTGTTTTTGTTCTCTCCACAAACTGTCCTCTGCTGGCCACAATATGCATGAATTTATAATTGTGTACATGTCTATTTATTGCGTGCCGAACAATGCTCGGCATTCGCAGAACGTTTTCATGGAGGGAGGCTGTGTGAGAAGGGCGATGTCCGAATGCTTCATCTTCGCACTGTCACGCTGGCGTTTGTGTGTGCGTGCGTGCATTTCCCATGTGCAGGAACAAGTCGACATGCTGACCATACTGGCAGGAATTCTGTCTCTGGGCAACGTGGTCTTTGAGCCTCAAGACAGTGGCAGCATGGCGATCACTGGCAAAGCGAACCACTGGCTAAATGCTGCGATGGTGAACCCCGTGCAATTGTTCTGTCCTCTTTGAATGTGTGTGAATTAGAGGGTTTGTCGTGGCCAGTGCCCGTAGATGCTTCCAATGTTTCTGAATGCTGAAATCTTAGCCCTTTTTGAGCTGGTGGCCATCACAAGGTTGCGTGCAGAAAATGCAGGGACTAGTGGTGTCATCTTGACATGCAAAGCATGCTGGGATTCCAGTTTTTTTTGCATGTGTACATAATTATGAGATCGAGCACATTTTAAGTTTCTTATAACAGGACTATAACAGGACTATTTACTTGACCGAACACCTCTGACATGGACAGGTCAACACATTGGCGGCTCCTTCCTGACTAACATCCAACTGTGTCTGGCTGTAGCTTATCTGCTTTTGGAAAGTGTGCAACCCTGTTATAGACAAATCCTCTTTGATGTAATCCAGGCATAGTTTTTTCCTAGAACGTCCTCTATCTAGTCTTTGTTCCACTGTCATGGTCCATACAGACAGATGTTAGGACATTTATTTGTGTTTTTCTTACGTAAACACATCTGCTATGTCCGTATAGTCCATCAATTTTGAGGGTTGGACCACGTGGTCAAAAACTCATGAGGAGAGATAGACGGCACAGCTGCAAAAATCTACACAGTGCTAATCCTCCCTCTCTGTTGTTGTTATTGTTGTGAATGGAACATGCTGACCAGCCTCTCCATTGCATGATGTGTGCAGAGCCAGCTTGGGGTGGATGGGGAGAAACTGAGACAATGCCTTCTGTTCTCCCGCTCCGTCACGCGTGGAGAGTCCATCTACAGACACTACACCAAGCAGCAGGCAGAAGGTATTGTCACAGTCGTCATCGTTACTCGGCCATTGTCTGTCCCCTCTGGGACGTAGGCCTCCCCACGCTATCGGAATCCCAGACGGTCCTACGATGCCTCAGGCCCCTCACGCTCACACACGTCCTGTCGGGCGCGATAATCTCAATTTGCTGCCATTCCTCCACCAGTCTTGTCCGTCAGCTGGTGTAGTATCTCCGTATGCTACATAACAGCTTGTAATCTTAATTTTAGAACTTTCGTGACTGCAGTAAATGATTATTTGGTTCTTTCGGTTAAGTCACGTCTAAAGATAAAATAATAAATTAAATTAAATAATAGCATACGACGAAACGTCGTATGCTATTATTTAATTTAATTTATTATTTTATCTTTAGACGTGACTTAACCGAAAGAACCAAATAATCATAACAGCTTGTGTTTATAAAGCTGTAGCAGCAGATCATGACCGAGTCCAACTGCCAGTTGGAATCGAGCTGGCCCCGTGCTCATTGATCACGGGGAACCACATACCTGGGCCTTCTGGGGCAGTTTCTTTGCTGTTCCTGGACCAGCAAAGCCTGGTTCTTGGTAGTCGTGGAAACAGTGACTGTACTGGTCAGCTGATCAGTACAAGTGACTGTCACCTTTGCTTCCCCCCCCCAACCATTATCTAATATTCATCCCCATCACTCAAATAATCTGCTGATAACACATCCCCATGTCGTCGGCTTCATTTTGCGATGTAAGTCAACCTGTTCAGTTGTTGCTTGCGATGAGATCAATCTGCCCAACGCACGGCACAACCTACACACTTGTTCCACGCAAATAGAACGAGCACCCACCACGATGTCCTTGCTCGGCCGAGAGTAACTTCAGTGCGGAGTTGCTGAACGATACTTCATACTTCTCACCACAGATGCCAGGGACTCGATCGTGAAGGCCACGTACGCTCGTGTCTTTGGCTGGATCGTCGTCAAGATTAATCAGCTGCTGGAACCGCGAACAGCCCTGGGAATAGCCGAGACCCTTCCTGAAATAGGTTAATGCTCTTGTTCTTCTTGCAGTTATAGAGAAAGCAAGCATTGTGTTGGATGCACTAAAGGTCTCTAGGACTGCAAATGCAGTAAAATTGTCGCCGTGACCTTGTCTAAAGGGGGGTGGTTGGTATTATACAACGTGCAGGTGGTGGCTCAACATAGTTGGTGCTAAGCAAACTTTAAATACATGTCTAACACGAAGTCGAAAGAGCATTGATGCTATTTGATGTCGATGTATATCATGTATTCTACGCTAGCTCTCTCACCCCCTTTGTGAATATTGTAAAAATCTTCTTGTGACTTGACTACGAATTTTAGAAGGGAGTGGGCTGAGCCTGCAGCAAGGGGGGTTCGGCTCCCTCGAGCACCGCCTGTCATTACGAGATGCAGCCACGCAGCGATAGATTAGATTAAAATAAACTCGCGGTTGTTGTGACGGTGTCCATGTAAAACTTTTGACTGGTGGTGGAATTGTGATCGCCCCCCCCCCCCCCCCCCCCAATTTATTTGTCCAGGAATTCTCGACATCTTCGGGTTTGAGCACTTCAAAGTGAATCGCTACGAGCAGCTTTGCATCAACCTTGCGAACGAACAGCTGCAGTTCTTTTTCAATGAGGTAAACTCTTCGGGGTTCAACTTGACATTTACGACCAAACCGTCGCACCCGAATGCTCCCGAGAACTCGTTCTTCGGAGATGTGCTTGGAGCGGCGTTCTTCATTGCAAGGCCATCGCGGCTCCACTGGCGGCCCCTGGTGGCCTTTAGTGCGGCCCCCTGATGTGCGGCCCCCGACAAGAGACAACGTGTGAACACACCCCTTGCAGGCGGTGTGGTAAACACTCACACTGCGGTCTTATCGGAGAAAGTTGCCGCCCCCCCCTGTCTGAAAATCAGTGCAGAACGCTGGCTTAGAGGGTTGACCGCTGTGCCTAAAAGGCGCTTTGCATTTGTGGGCAGCAGAGGGTAGTGCATAAAAATTAAATTGTGTTTTTACGTTTGAGCATCTATGCTCCTGAGACAAACCCGTCACCCGCAGTGATCGGAGTGGTGAGGTATGGTCAGACAACCCCCCACCGGCCGTACGGCGTGGTGAGGTATGGTCAGACAACCCCCCACCGGCTGTACAGCATGGTGAGGTATGGTCAGACAACCCCCCACCGGCCGTACGGCGTGGTGAGGTATGGTCAGACAACCCCCCACCGGCTGTACAGCATGGTGAGGTATGGTCAGACAACCCCCCACCGGCTGTACAGCATGGTGAGGTATGGTCAGACAACCCCCCACCGGCCGTACGGCGTGGTGAGGTATGGTCAGACAACCCTCCAACGGCCGTACGGCGTGGTGAGGTATGGTCAGACAACCCTCCACCGGCCGTACAGCGTGGTGAGGTATGGTCAGACAACCCTCCACCGGCCGTACGGCGTGGTGAGGTATGGTTAGACATCCAGCAGTGGATTGACGAAAGGGGCCGTACGTAAAAAAACGGAGAGGCGTTTAACGCGGATACGATTCGCACTCGCCGTGTAGAAGTGGAACGGCACGGGCATGGACACAATCGCGTGTCGATTGCAAACTCGCGAAGCGCGGAGTGCATTGCCGTACACTTGTATTTTTCTTCGCGCGAAAGATGGCGACGATGGAAGATTTAAATGCCACTGTAATGTTGTTCTCTTTTTATTGTGCAGTTTATTTTCTCAATGGAGCTGAATGAATACAAAAAAGAGGGCATTGAGTGTCATGCTGTGGCTTTCAAAGACAACAAGCCTCTTCTGGTACGGTAGTCCTCAATACGAATCGACTTATAACGTTTTAATGTTTAGCATTGCTGTTGCAGTTTCAGTGCATATTAAATTTGATTAATGATACTTTATTATATATGAAGTTTTTAAATTTTGATAATAAAACAATTTCTACAAAAGATTGCCTCATTTTTTTCAAGTATATTAGTGTTTTTTCAAGAGTGTAAAAATGTTTAAAATGTTGATATTTTTGACCCTGCAGGATCTGTTTCTGGGTAAACCCATTGGGATCATGACATTGTTGGACGAGGAAAGCCATTTCCCGCGGGTAAGGATAAATACTCGCTTACCTACTGCAAAAGTTGTTGCATATCTGGGTCTTCCTGACTCAGCCGTTTAAAGAAATTTTGGTCATTTTATTTCCAATTTCACTCCCGGTGCACATTCGGCATCATTTTTACGGGGACAAAGAATCCATTCGGGAGTCTCGCAGAGGGCAGTGCGAGACACGCTGTGTGGCCCAGAGCTGAGATTGATGTTTGTCGTCGGCCGACACTGATATTTTAATTCTCAGAGCTGGAAGTTTGCTGAAATTAAGTAATTCGAAAAATAAAATGTTAAATATACATTTACGTGTGGAGTTATCGGTCATCGGGCTAAGGCCATCAATTCTAGATTTGAAGCTTTCGTGACTGCAAGGATCCATACTCTTAGTTTTTTCGGTAAAGTCACGTAGGCAAAAAAAATGAATTAAAAATTAATAAAAATAAAATAATAATAATGAATTAATAAAAATAAAATAAAATAATAAAAATAAAACATAATAAAACAATTCTCACGACGTTTCGGCCACAACGCAAGCAGCCGTCCTCAGGTGAAAACCAGGTCCGTCGAGGCGACAGAGTCTGAATGAAACAGCACACGAGCTTGGAGTATATATATAAGCTGGGCGCATTGACAAAGGAATTTGCATATCAAAAGGAATTTAGCATATTTATGGGAAATGCAGGAATGTGATTAGTACTGCATATGCATGTGCATTATGCAGGATTAACAGCATCAAAGGGAGCTGCAGTTACTGCTGCTGCAGCAGTTGCTGCTGCTGCTGCAGTTTCTGCTGCTGCTGCAGTTGCTGCTGCTGCTGCAGTTTCTGCTGCTGCTGCAGTTGCTGCTGCTGCTGCAGTTGCTGCTGCTGCTGCACTTGCTGCTGCTGCTGCACTTGCTGCTGCTGCTGCAGTTGCTGCCTTATCCATTTTAATATAACACTATGTATTATTCTACCCACCCTAATGTGTATCATACTGCTATATGTTTACTGTACAATTACGACACCATACATTACTCTGCACACTGCACCATGCCAGTGAGTGGAACGCGGTCTGAAAGTCACCGTAAACGTGAACACAATCAGTTAAGATCCGAAATGGTTTATTACGTCCTTCCAATGATTGCTAAGCCAGAATCCATCTTCTCGGTTGAAATTGTCTCTGTGTTTGTATATGTGGATCGCCTCCACATATACAAACACAGAGACAATTCTGGCTTAGCAATCATTGGAAGGACGTAATAAACCATTTCGGATCTTAACTGATTGTGTTCACGTTTACGGTGACTTTCAGACCGCGTTCCACTCACTGGCATGGTGCAGTGTGCAGAGTAATGTATGGTGTCGTAATTGTACAGTAAACATATAGCAGTATGATACACATTAGGGTGGGTAGAATAATACATAGTGTTATATTAAAATGGATAAGGCAGCAGCAGCAGCAAGTGCAGCAGCAGCAGCAAGTGCAGCAGCAGCAGCAACTGCAGCAGCAGCAGCAACTGCAGCAGCAACTGCAGCAGCAGCAGAAACTGCAGCAGCAGCAGCAACTGCTGCAGCAGCAGTAACTGCAGCTCCCTTTGATGCTGTTAATCCTGCATAATGCACATGCATATGCAGTACTAATCACATTCCCGCATTTCCCATAAATATGCTAAATTCCTTTTGATATGCAAATTCCTTTGTCAATGCGCCCAGCTTATATATATACTCCAAGCTCGTGTGCTGTTTCATTCAGACTCTGTCGCCTCGACGGACCTGGTTTTCACCTGAGGACGGCTGCTTGCGTTGTGGCCGAAACGTCGTGAGAATTGTTTTATTATGTTTTATTTTTATTATTTTATTACTTCCCTTCTACGTGACTTTACCGAAAGAACCAAGAAGATGAATCCCTGCAGTCACGAAAGCTTTAAATCGAAAAATAAAATAATAAAAATGTTTTTTTATTTTATTTTTTATTAATTTTTATTTCATTTTTTTACCTACATGACTTTACCGAAAAAACTAAGAGTAAGGCCATCAACTCACTATACTTGAAAGTCCGCTTTAAGTCATGGGCGGCTGAAACCTGAATTCGAACCCCAGAGGCTTGGTGGCATTGGCGCTGCACTCTGACCTCTGAGCCACTTAAGCCCATCTTAATCTATGACTTTCCAGCACTGTAAGGTCATCTGATTTAAGTGGTGGTCTAAATTTGGCTGCATTTGGTGGCACACCACTGTAATTCAGTGCTTGAGAAAGAAGCACCTTTTGTGAATTGCGCAGAGTTAGTGTGCATGAGGTTTCTGCATGAGACAGTATAGCAAGTAGGATGGATTATGGCTTTATTCGTTGGCTGCTTGAATGTTTATTCCCGTGTATGTGTGGCGTTTACCTGGGCATTCTAATTTCCTCCCACATATATAAAATAAATAGATAAAAAAAATTGGTGGCCGAGTAGTTCGAAGGTCAGAGCACTGAGTTGATGACCGCTGAGAAACTTGGGTTTGAGTCCTGGCGGCCGCCTGTGATTAAACTGCACTAATATTCGACAAAAATTCCAGCTCTGAGAATTTAAAACATCGGTTTGACTGCCGTGCGACGAACATCGCTTTCTGCAGAAACGTTGGTGGGAAAGTGCTTTCGCCTCGCGATCGAAGAGCGCGCGCATTGTTCCTTCTCCCCTGTTTTGCGCAATTTCGTGGGCTAAGTTTTACGCTGCACGTGTCTGGGTGCGACTGTTATTTTATTTTTCAAGGGCACAGACAAAACCTTTGTGGACAAGCTGAACCAGAGCTTCGGGAAGAACCAACACTACGAGTTGGTGAGGACTTCGGACACCATGTTTGCCGTCAACCATTACGCCGGAAAGGTAACAACGCGCGACGTCGCCTCCTCTGTTGTGAACAGTGATGAGGTTAGAATGAACTCGTGGGATTGGTGTAGTTGGTCACATACGGTGCGAAAGACGTTCAACATGCATACATACTTCGATTTAAAGCTTTCGTGACTGCAGGGATTCATCTTCTTGGTTCTTTCGATAAAGTCGCGTAGAAGGGAAATAATAAAATGATAAAAAATAAAACATAATAAAATACAATTCTCACGACGTTTTGGCCACAACGCAAGCAGCCGTCCTCAGGTGAAGAACAGGTCTGTCGGAAAGACAGCGTCCATTCAGACCATTCAGACGTTGTCTTTCCGACAGACCTGTTCTTCACCTGAGGACGGCTGCTTGCATTGTGGCCGAAACGTCGTGAGAATTGTATTTTATTATGTTTTATTACTTTATTATTTCCCTTCTACGTGACTTTACCGAAATAACCAAGACGATGCATACATACGTAACGATGTACCGATTAAAATTTTCACTCGAAGTGCAGCGCTCCGAGGGTGGCTAACAGGCAGCTCAGAATTAGTTCTGTGACGTCGTCTTCTGCGGGCTATTCTGACACGTGGGGTGATCCACTGCTCTTCGAGAGTTCTCAGTGGGCTCTTCATCTCATGGCACGATGCTCATAGCAGAATTGGTAACAAATTTGGAGATGCATTTTTTAAAAGACCCAGTGGAGTACAATGTGTATGCATAGCGGTGGCATTGTGGTTCGCACACTTGTGCGACAAATCCCGCCACCTGAGTTCAATTCCCAGTCACAGCAAACATCAGTGATGTCTTCCTGAACCAGTCCTGGGCCTCCTCTAGGTAGGCTCAGCCTTAAATGAGTACCTGGTATGCTGTATAAAAATCATCACTGGGGAGACAAAGGTGGCCGGGTGGAGGACTGGCCACACCCTGCCCCCTTGTATGCTGTGCCGGCCTTAATAGGTGCTTGCTAACAGCACTTGCCCCAACAATCTGTTAAAGATTATATGAATGGCTTCAAAAAAAGAAGCTATGTGGCTGTATAGATACAAATAGTTTAGTTTTATTTGTATATTTTATACAAGTGATTTGTTTACTTTTCCTATACTTTGCACTCCTTTCGTGTTTTGTTTCTGCTGTTTTAACGTTTCTGACCCCGTGGCCCGACCTGGACGTGTGAAAGAGAGCGTCATAACTCATCGAATTCCTCCGGTATTAACGAATGTTCCGATTCTGATTCTTCCGCGTGCGCTCTCTCCTGTAGGTGGCGTACAGTGCCAGCGGCTTCCTCGAGAAGAACCGGGACTCGCTGCCGTCGGAAATCCGCGAGCTCTTTGTGCACAGCCAGATCCCGCTCCTGAGCCAGATCTTCGCCGGTGAGAGAGGGCACGAAGCAGAGCTTGGCACGGCGCACGTTCCACCGAGCACGCGTGCAATGGTCGAGGGAAGCTCTCCGGTGTATTTTCGGGTCGTGCCGCGTGTTTTTTTTTTCTTTCGGTTTGATGGCCGACGTTTCGCTCCACGTGCTGGAAGCTTCTTCAGGAATTGAATATTCACCGAATATGTTTGACATTGTTTTGACATTCATATATATTCAGTGGATACTGCGTGATTATAATGATATTCAGTAAATACTGCATAGTCACTGAATATTAATTCCTGCAAAATGTTTCCAACACGTGGAGTGAAATATTCCACAAACGGCATGTGTGGTGCGACGCGGAAACACATCGGAGGCCTGTACAATACCACTGCATAAACCCACACAGTGGTAAAGCACGGAGGTGTTTGAGAAATATTCACATTTACGTTGACGTAGAATCTTGTTGGTGCTGGTGTCGGGTCTTTTTTTATATCGATCAATGAATATCCTTTATTATAAAACCAAGTGAGACTAGTAAAGGTCTCTTGCTTTCAAGGTAGACCTAAGTCATGAAAGCAATGTAGTACACATATAGTATGAGGTCAGAACAATGTAATACATAATGAAAATATGCAGATATTATTCATATTATTAATAAATGAATAAAGCCGTAATACAAAATTTAAGATGTCGGTTTAGGTAATTTTGGTATATATGTTATGTGTAAGTTAAAGAGTAACATTCAGTGGAAAATTGTGTACAAGCATTTTAATCTGATGATGCATGGCAGTACTGATTGTGCTCTTTATGCTAAGATTGTTTTTAAAAGTTCCAATACAACATTTGTAATTCATCGCAAAAATTACAATGTTTTGTATGCGTTTATTTAATTGATTCGATTACCGAGTGTGGTCACATGACCGCACACGCTAATCTGACAGCTGTCAAACTACAGAGGTCCATATCTGGTTTTGCATCGTTTTATATTCACAGGAACCGTTTCCCGGACAGGGACACTGATGCTCCGAAGAGGAGCGCAGGTACCTCTCCATACTTGTGATATGAAATGAAGAATCGTGATACTCTTGAGATTTTTGCAAGATTTTTGTCATTCCGCTCAAAACACCAGTGTTAAACGTAGTGTGAGAAATAATATAAATGCACCAACATTCGTGAGAAAAAATGTCACCTTTTACAAAATGTGAGTTTGTTTTAACGAGCGGGTGTGACCTAACCTGAAGAACCGGCACATACATTGAAAGTAATGATTGGTCGGTTGTGATTGCTCCCAAGAGACATCTATTGATGGAATCGCTGAATAGACAATACTTTTATAAATCCTCATCATCATCATGCAGCAGTGGCAGGGACAGCACTGGAGTTACCGCTTAAGCCAATTAAAAATATGAGAGTTTAAATGAAAGCCGTTCCGATATTGCCCCACATATATTGAATGAGTCTCATTCTTTCTGTTGAAATTGGATAATGTTCATCTCCACAGCTTCAAGTTGACGTCAAATGAAGTATTATAAATGCACGAATAAGTTACATGTTATGCAATTAATTCTTAACTCATTATGGCCTAGCAAGGTGTAACATTGTCCGTGTATCCACTGTCTTCCCAGGCAAATGTAGATGTAAACGCCAACTCCCGCAAGTCCACGGTTGGGTTTCAGTTTAGGGTAAGCATTTCGACTTTTTTGTCTTTCACGCGTGCACATACACACTCACTCGTGCACACAGGCACACAGGTATACGCCTCATGGTGCCCTGATCAACAGTGCGTTTGGCCTCGAGTTGGGCTTTATCGAGTTCTTTTTACCAATATAATTATTGGTGTATGGTGGAAACTTGCGCGAGTTGCTCACCCTGTAGGGTTCCCACTTCCTAAGGAACAAAAAAACGGGATATGTCATGGGAAGAAGAATATCTGACAACACCGTAGGAGTGAATAACTACGTGCAAATGCCAAGTCATTGTCTTGAGTGGTGTATTAATTCCACTTCTGACAAATGCCTAGGAATGTTTTTGTCCCGCAAGACTTACAGATTTCCTCGAACAGCTGTTGCAAGTAGGGGAAAGGTCCTGGGAAAACCAGGATGGGTGGAAACCCTAGCTCAAGGTCCTTGAGGAAGACACATCTCCACACATCCCCAAATCTTCCTGTCAGCAGTCCATGGCACCAGCTCCCTTCCCATGATGCAGCAGTTCTACAGGTTGAAAAAGATGTTTTAAAATGTACATCGGTTTGTGTAACCATCGTTGACCCGAGGGGTTTGTTCGTGACTCAATTTCCGTTGTTGGAGAAATCAATGACGACCCTTGGAAAAAAGAACTAGGGCGGGTGTCCAACCCTTACTTCCCTGTGTCTGCGTCCCCTTTAGCAATCGCTGTCCGTGCTCATGGAGAAGATGTCCTCTTCCAACCCGCACTTCATTCGCTGCGTGAAGCCCAACGACTCGAAGGCAGCCGACCGCTTTGACATGGACATGGTCAAGAATCAGGTGGGGGGATTGGAGGGGGGCCCTTTTGCCTGTCGCTCCGAGTTTGTTTTCCTGCAGGCGGATACTGTGACCATCATCGTTCATAATCGTTCACGATTTAACTGGCAGGTACGAATGAGCACGATTCATCCGCTGCCTGGATACATTTTTTTCCACGGATAATCGAGAGTAAAACAAGTCTCAAGCCTGGTTATTTTTGAGGATGTTGTTTCACCTACACAACATGATGCGAGTTCATAAGACACCCAGATCCAGGGCTCGAATTCGGGGTCTCAGCAGTGTTGGCTCAATGTCTCCGACATGGCTATTATACACATATCCACTGCAAAACATCATCACTAATGCGTCAGTTAAATTACCATGTCCTCATCGATCTGCGTTTATACTGGTTGAAATGCACTCCTGTAGCACCGTGATGGACCCCACAGGTCCTTTGGTTGTTTAAAATCCAGAGCATCGTTGTTTTTACTACAAGTTATGTGCCCCGAAATAAACTCGTTTTGTTGGTTTTACAGCTGCGATGCAACGGGCTGCTGGAGACGACGAGAATAAGGAAAGACGGTTTCTCCTGGAGGCCCTCCTTCGAGGAGTTTGTCAGCAGGTAACGACGGGGATAAGAAGCTTCTGACAAAAATCGCCTGGAATGCGACCGATCTCGTCAGATCTCTGATGGATGAGCCTCGATCGCGCTTGGATGGTGACCACTGTTCACGAGAGAGGTCGTAAGGGTTGCGGGGCTACCTGGTGGGCAGCAGAGGGCAGTGCAGTGAAAATGTATCGATGCATTGTACATGTATGCTGCCCACTCTCCGCAACCAGCACTGATTAGCAATGGTGACGTTTGATCGAATGACCCCCAAGACCCACACGGTGTGGGGAGACCTTCATTCAGCAGTAGCCTTTACTTGGATAATAACCTTTGACAGAAGAAAACATACTGGCCAGGTAGCACACTGTGGTTAGGGGGCACAACCTGCCATTCGATGCTAGCAAGTTCAAATGTCGGTTCGGGGTCAAATTAGCCCTTCGTCCCTCCGGAGTGAATACAAACCGAGTACCAAGTTGTGGGGAAGTCATCATGAGGTTGTCTTGCGCACAAGACTCGTCCCATCCTATCGTAGAATTGAGGAATGTCTACCACTGGCTGAGGGGTGTAAATAATGCGGTGGTACATCGACGAAAAGAACAATCACAAACGCTGACATGTTCGTGTTGATAGGAAACGTTTGTAATATTGCTGCTAACACAAAAACCCACCTTTGGTCTCAACAAGACTCGTCCCAGTACGGTGCTTTTTCTGCAATATTTTGCTCTCTTTTCATGGATTTTCTGTTTGCACATAGTCACTTTAAGATGTTTTCTTGTTCATGTTTTTGTTTTTTTGTTTGTTGCGGTTGCACCCGATTCAAGAGCCGAATGGCTCATAGGGCTATACCTAATAAATGAAACTTGAAAACTTGAAACTTGAAACTTGAAACAAGGAAACCTGAATTTCCATGAAACTGAAATATACAAAAATCCCTTTTTATTTTACAAGGGCACCATCACAACTGCAAAAATATCTGATAAATACATGTTGATTGCATATGCTTCCGCATAAAATACGAGCGTAAGTAAAATTAAATAACACTCAATTAAAATATGTTATAGATGATTATAATAAGGAGAATTCACAGCCCTTGGAGCAAAGCCTCCACTTTCCGAGTCGGTCACTGTGGTTGTTTCACCATACTTCACCGTACGGGTCGGTGAGAGCTTGTGAAGGATTCGGTGCCCAGCCACCGTTGCAGAATTCGCTCGGCACTGATGTCAGCCGGGGCCGGGAGTTGAACTCTGCTTGCCGGGTTCGTGGCGCACGGCCGATGATTACTGTTCTGCGGCCCGCTCGTGTTTTACAGATACGGAATTCTCATTCTCCAGTCGAGTCTACCACCGAACAAGGAGAGGTAAGCGTTTCATGTGTGCCTCCGTAAGTCTTCCCTTGTCCTGTGGACAGACATCTCTCTACCACGTCAATGTAGAATTTCCATCACTGGTTCAGATTGGCCTTTTGTGAGATGAAATTCTCCTTGCACTCATTTCAAATTTAATTTTAGTTGCATTTTTTTCACCCATTTGTTAATTGAACCATGCCCCTTGTTACATCTAATGACGTGTTTGCGTTACTGTTTTCACTTTTTTTTTGTTGCAGCTGTAACATGATTTTGAAAAAAGCGGGACTGGAAGCATGGCAGATTGGGTACGTCTCTTCAGTTTCCACTGTCAGTTGACACTTCAGTACAGTAAGTCTCTCGGTTAACAGTGACATCGGTTAACGTTTTTTCAGTTCATGTTTTGCCTCGCATAGGAACCTCATGGTTTGGACTAACGTTAACATTTCGATTAATTATCGATGTGTTTACATTATGCACGCGGACGCCAATTTCGGCCAATCGGAGCGCTCGTAAGTGGGGCTCGGCACGCCTCGGCCAATCGGCTACGCCCATTTATGAGCATTTCGACTGGCTTTGGGTTTTCCGTGTTGGCCCTGGAAACAGCTCTCTTGCAGACTCGGTGATTTAAAGAAAAATATATATTCGATTAACATTTGTTTTCGGAACGGGTTCATCAACCGGTAGCCTGCGGGCCAACTAAGACATGTGAGATGAGAGACAGGAGATACACACGAGTGGTCATGCATTGCAGATGATATGATGTCACAACACTTTGTGATGTCAATGTTGACAGGCCTAACATTACTGATGGGGAACAAAAGGACGTTTCATTTTATATATTCCAAACAAACTTCCGGTCTTTAACCTTGGGGTGGTGGCCGATATTTTAAACAAAGCATCTCAGCAATTGCCAGCTACGTTTTCTGACATGACCTTCAGTGTCCTGAGTTACCTATCCACTGCAATGTGTTTGGGTTTGTTCGATGTGCGTGCGTCTTTGTGTCTGCGTGTGTGCGCGTATAGAAAGACAAAAGTCTTTTTCAAGTACCGGCACCAGGAGGAACTCGCGAATCTTTTGAATGAGCTCCAGAGGGCAGCAACTGTTCTACAAAAAGGTAAATGGGACAGTGGGTCTACAAACGATGACTCAATAACATGCATGAAGTCACGTGGAGGAACATTAGATAATAATCTCCAGCCGCCCTTTGTCACTGTACTGCTGGATGAAGGCCTTCCTACTCCATACTGCTCTAGACGTAACCATGCTGGTCAAATGTGGGTTGTGGGACATTCATATAAATATTACTATGATACTTTGTATGAGATGTAACTTGAGGCTCTTGGTCTTTGATCTTATTGCTGTCATCAGCAGTGTTCAGTAATGTTCCACAACAGCGCTGAATGGGCTTTTTATACAACATTGTTTTTTGTGCTAACGGAGCCCCAATACAAAGGGGTAGTGCTCGTGCCGATAATATCTGGCAACCCAGCGGAATACCTTTAACAAGTCTGACGCTGCTGATGAGACCAAAAATGTTGAAACTGGCCTGTCGTTTGCTTGCTTAAACAAGAACTGCTGGATAACATTCGTCTAGAAGATAAAAAAAAATCTCCTGATTGATTCTATAGAGCGTCATTCATGCAAATTTGATCTCCATAGCTGTCAACCCCTTATCAGTGCCTACCTTATTACAGACCCATTCAGCCCTTATTGGTCACCCGTGCCCTTATAAATCTCAACGTCCATCCTACAAAGTCCCATCACAGGAGAGAAACTCCCCCTCTTTTTGATGACGGACGCTCGTGTTGCGATCGAAACGTCGTAGTTTTTTGTTATTTTTGTAAATTTCTTTGAACCGATCTACGTAACTTTACCGAAAGACCCAAAGAAATAAGAGAGAAACACAAACAAATAGACAAAAACTTCTTTTTTTTTTGCCCGTATTGAAACGGATGTACACCGTATGGACTTGAAAATTCAATTTCCGTGTACAAGAATACGGCGTAAACCATATGGGTTGACAGGTGTGCATCTCACAATCACCGAGGAACCACAGACACGAGCTGGAAGGCTGCCATGCGGTGAGCTGGCGCCAACAATTGCTCTGCAGTCCTCTATACATTAAGATGTTTTCAGACCAACGAGGGAGTGTTTATTATACATGTGGGAGGCAACCAGAGAACCCGGAGAACACTCACGAATGTGAAGGGGAAAATTCTAGATTTGAAGCTTTCATGACTGCAAGGATTCATACTCTTAGGTTTTTTCGGTAAAGTCACGTAGGTAAAAAATAAAATTAAAAGTTAATAAAAGTAATTATGGAAATAAAATAATAAATCACGACGTTTCGGAGGCAACACAAGTCTCCGTCATCAGGTGGGACCGTCACAGCTAAAATTACTGAATCACTTGATGCAGTAATTTCGTCGTGATTTATTATTTAATTTTATTTCCATTATTACTGTATTTTTTATTAACTTTTAATTTTATTTTTTACCTACGTGACTTTACCGAAAAAACCTAAGAGTGTGAAGGGCTGCTTGCGTTGTGGCCGAAACGTCGTGAGAATTATTTTATTATGTTTAATTTTTATTATTTTATTATTTCCATTCTACTTGACTTTACTGTGCAGATTTGTTCAGCATCAGGCACGCTGTGCTCAAGAAGCACAGCACACTTTATCTCATCGCTCCTTGCTGTCGGTGTCTCTCTTGTGAAAGGTGTGCGTTGCTTCCTGGCTCGGAGGAGGTACACGCGAATCTTGGGGGCTTACCGGGAGAAGATCAAGAAAGAGCAGCAGCAGCAGGAGGAGGAGCGGAAGAGACTGGAAGAACTTGAGAGGAAGAGGCTGCAGGAGCAAGAGTCTCAAAACAAACAGAGTGAGTTGAGGCCAGTGATTACGTAGGCTCCAGAATTTCTCGCCATTTTAAAATCCTTTATATTAAGTTCGCTTGCTTGCTTGCTTGCGCGCTTACGACCGTGCAAATCTTTCGGTCGTTTTTTAACCCACTTCCTGTGATCCAATCGAGCTGAAATTTTGCACACAGACTCGTTGTGCGTGACAATTTATTTTCGTGAAAAAAATTTCCGTAACTTTACACTTTTTAGGAATTTTTTTTATATTTAATTACCAATTGCTTAATGGTGGCAGGCAATCATCTGACCCATAGGTGGCAGCCATCTCAAGCCAGAGGACGAGAGGACTCTAGCCGCCACGCATATAAAGGATTTATAGTGAAAAACTTTGTTTTTACGGGTTAATTTTTTCTTTCCTCGAAGACGGCTTGGTTCGATCTTTTTGAACACGTCGCCCCGTCTTGATGCGCAAACTCCAGCAGCAAATTGCGCACTTCGGTTGGCGGGCGACGTTCGAAGTGGACGACGATCCTCAAAGGAACGGTGCCGCCCACGTGGTCACTTTCCCTCCCCCCAACTCCCCGTAATCCGTGGATCAAACAAATTACTCGAGAATTGCCGGTGTATGCCAGCAAGAGCAGTTAATGCGAATGCTGTCGCAAGCGGTCACACGTTTGGCGCAAGGGTCCTTCGCTGGCTATGCGTAATGAATGAATGAAGATGGCTGTGTGCAGCATCGATAGGGCGCCCAGTTAAACATTTCGGAGACTGAAAATTATTCTTAATACTCTTGAGAAACGCTCAATTGCATATTAATGCAGCATTCAGACCGATACGCCAACTAAAATGATAGAGAGAAAGCAACATTGTATTTCAAAGCCTCTTCACGTCTTCCACTAATCTCAATTCACTAAAATATTTCAACACTCTCCTCTGTGAGATGTGAAGCCATTGCGTTCACAAAATTCAAGTATCCATTAAGAAGAACCAAAGAGGGTCATTATCAAACCAGTATGGATCGCCATGCATAATTTTACATTATCTAATACATGAAGCCTACTAAAATATCCATTATTAACCAGTTGAAATGTTTTATTTATAAACAATCGCGAAAATATATTTTGATATATAACGGCCATCTAAATATCTTGGGGGGGGGGGGGGCGGAAGGTGGGAGGGGAGAAGTGATAGGAGTGTGGCCTTCTTTGCAGTATTATCACTCGCAGTGCCCACCTCATGCCAAGGCTACAGACTTGAATTTTTTTTTCCACGTGCATTTCATCGCAATGTTGAACGTGTTCCACATACACAACAACGTTGCCAATAACAATAAATGGTCACTTTAAAATAATAATTGCCTCCGATTTTTGCCAAAATTACTCCAAATTTACGGCAGCCTGTCGATTTGAGTGAGGTCCTCTGGGTAAAATGACCAATCGTTCAATCAACTGCGTTTCTCACGGCTGACGAGAGCACTCCCGGAAGGTTCATTCCTTATTTCTGCGTCGTCGTGGCCTTTAAAACTGGACTGTGAGTGTTTTTAGAGAGAGCGTGGTGATTTAAGGGTGTTAAATCACTACGGATATATTGTAAGATGGCATTGTTTTGAATTAATAATCATAAATTACAGCCCCTTGCCAATCCACAGCTGGATGATAGCCTCCCCTGCTGTAATACACTGCTCCTTAATGATGTTGATAATGATGCCTAAGATGATGATGATGACGAATCATTCTCTGATCGTTTTCGCAATTCTCGACGACGGCAACGTCCATGATGAAGATGACAACGACGACGATCATGGAAAGCGCGGATCGATTCTCACGATGCCCACCGTCCCTCTGCTCGTTAGATGGGACGGCCGCGCCAGAGACGGTGCCCCCAGTCCCCAGGCCACGGAAGAAGAGGGCCCCGTCGGCGAGCAACGCGGAGGAGACGGAGGCACCCGTGCCACGGCCACGGAGCCGGTTCATCACGGTCCACTCGGTGAGGGCACCACTCCCCCCACTCACCCAGCCACCTACCCACCACCTTCCAACCCCCCCCCCGACCCCTCCAACAAAAACAACTGAGCGACAAAAAATAAATTCCTGCGTACGCACGGATTCCGTCATCGTTTTCCACAAGCGGTTGTCTTTGGAAGTATTTCATCAGCATTCGGGAAGAAGCCGCTGGGTTCCTGCGAGCACAAATGGAAATTGCAAACAGTAAAACCTTGGATTGCGAGCATAATTCGCTCCAGAAACGTGTTTGTAATCCAAAGCACTCGTATATCAGTTGTGATCACGTGACGCTCGGCAGACAAAGCGTATGCACGTACTACTCGTATTGCAAGACCTCGCTCGTTTATAAAATTAATTATTATTACAAAAATAATCCATTGGAGCTTCAGCCAGCTTCTCTTAGGACGGTAATTTGAGAGATTTTTGATTGAGAAGCGTTGTTGCCCCATCACGCTTTTTAGACCATGGATCAATTCACTATCAGAATATTTATTTAGACTGGAGGAATTCGATGAGCTGTGAATCTCTTTTCCACAGACATCCAGTAGTTTTGTAGGTAACAAGCGTTTATACCAATGTTACTCTACAGAGTAGTGGGTCGCCGCTCCTCTTATCCGCATTGATACGAGCGGTATGTGGGAACTATGGCTTAACCGCTAAAATAAACCTATCTGCACAAATGCATACGGACAAGAGAAGATGATGGTTGAGAAGAGATATTTTGCGATCCAAAATGCTTCCTTGAAATGCACGTGCCCTTCAAAATGTTGACGCTTCGGTGACTTAAGGGCGGTTGTACAAACACCCTGCTCCTTCTCTTCCCCCCCCCATCTCTCTGGAATTACTCAATGAAATGCACGCCCCTGGTGGACGGGACACATCCCTGTGTGACAGGTGCTCTGTGAAAACAAGGCCAACCCAAAGCGGAGTGAGGGGAGTAAGGGAGGCTGTTGTGTAAACGATGGCATGCAGCTGCCTCTTGACAGAATTACGAATAACTATTTAGCAGCTACCGGGAGTGCTGCTTGGTGAAGAGGCTTGTTGAGAGAGTGAGGCTTGGTCTAATAGAGCACTTTCCAAGTGGCTGTGTGGCATCAGGGGTCAGATCACTTGAACCGTATGCAGTTCGAATTGCAATAGCAGTGGGCATGTTCCTGGGTTAGAATGCGAGCAGCCGCCCATGACTATACCCGGTGTTCGGGTGGCGCGCTTTGAAGATCTCAACCCCATTTGCCAATGACTGAAAAAAAAAACCTTGAGCTACACCCATTTCAAACCTTTTTAAAACAGTCTGCCTCAGCAGCAGACCATGGTTTCCCACCTGATGATGGACGCTTGTGTTGCGCCCGAAACGTCGTGATTTATTTTATTTTATACCTACGTGACTTTACCGAAAGAACCAAAGAGTATGTTCTTGGTTCTTTCGGTAAAGTCACGTAGAAGGGAAATAATAATATAATAAAAATAAAACATAGTAAAATAATTCTCACGACGTTTCGGCCACAACGCAAGCAGCCGTCCTCAGGTGAAGAACAGGTCTGTCGGAAAGACAGCGTCTGGTGGTGTTCATTCAGACGCTGTTTTTCCGACAGACTTGTTCTTCACCTGAGGATGGCTGCTTGCGTTGTGGCCGAAACGTCGTGAGAATTATTTTGTTATGTTTTATTTTTATTATTTTATTATTTCCCTTCTACGTGACTTTACCGAAAGAACCAAGAAGATGAATCCCTGCAGTCATGAAAGCTTTAAATCGAAACCAAAGAGTATGTTCAGTTTTGTTTCGTTCTAAATTTGGCTTATTCGTTCCTTCAGACATGTGGTGTAGTTGACGTGCGATGAACAACATGGTGCGTCAAAATGTGTGTGCCCCTAAATGTGGACGAGGAGGCCTAACTGAGGTGACTTCACAAGTAGCTCTGTGATGAGATCTTCTGGGGCCGTTCTCTGGCACAAGGCGCTTCGCACTCCAAGATGGAAATGCAGTCGTCCTTTGACATGATGCTGATGGCACAAATTGAGTCTGAGTTTGTTTGATTCGTTACGCGGATGATCGCGTTTTAGCCAGTCGCCCGGCAATTTTACAAGAGAGATCCGTGGTGCGTGAGCAGCACAGCAACAAAAAAATGGAATGAAATTGGGAGAAAGCAAAATATGTTTACAAAGAAAACCTTAAGTGAGTAATAAAATCCCTTGTATGTAGGCCTCGGAGAAGTAGACTGGTAAAACATTCTAAATTATTGCATCTGCTATTACTTGTTGAATTAAATATTTTCTTGTCACTTGTAAACTCTAGAGACTGTCAGGCAGTGGCGGCTCCTGCAAAATCTCTCAGGGGGGGCAAATGTCTGGATGATTGATAAGGATAAGGTCCACCCATGCAATGGATACATTAACAGCTTAAGCATGTAAAGGCAACTTCACTTCTTTAATATTAATGAAAAATAAAGTGACTCTTACAATACATATCCTTGTTTGTTTCTATACTCACTATTAATAGAATCCACTCAAGTTTCTTTTATTAAAGATTCCACTAGGTGGCGACAAATAATATTGTTGGATGAAACGTGCTTGCGTATGATGACGTAAGCACGTTAGTGCGAGCCCTCCCGGAAGTCATAGAGAATGTATTGGAGCGCCCGCCGTTCGAAAAAAAACATCTTTGAATGTAAGTCTATGGGGCCACTCGGGGCGATTCTCAGCCAGAGTGAAATCGCCCAAAAAGAGGCGGTACTCCACAGAACGTGACATGACGCTGATTGGACTATATCCAGAGGCACAGTGACGGCTAGCGTGACTCTGTGGTTGAATGACATTGGTGGTGCGTCGCCCAATCGCCCTAATGAAGAAACCGCCCCTGCTGTCAGGTGTCTTCTGATTATTGCTTTATAATTTGCAAAACTAAAGAAGCAAATACTAAGTTTCCAATATAGCTTAGGGCCTTCATGTGCAGCTGTAGCTGAATCGGAGAAAGTTTAATCTGTCGTGACAGGCAAGGATGAATGCAATCTCTGAACAGCGCTTATCACACCCAGCATCTGAATTGTTACACAAAATCACACTTGTGTGGGTGATGAATGTCTGCTCGTAACCATCATGAGAGATGAGGCTCTTCGGCAATGTTCAAGGTGTGTGGGGCTGGCTGTTATAATTTTGTAACAGTTGTAGAACGAGTTATCATTTATAGGAATCCATTGCTGTGTTTTACAACAACCAAGGGGCTTTCAATAAATATCTTGACACTGCGCCTTGGCTGCCTCCTAAATCCAGGCGAGGGTTTTGGGTGATCCAACACGGGTTTTTGGTATTCCCTTTACTGCTGTGACGCTTGTGGCCTAGATGCTATTATATCTCCGATTCACACGGTTGGTTACGTACGGTGCGAAAGAAGTTCAAGATACCTACGTACATATCTCCTAGGCCTGTCGCGATTCGCTGTGATCGCAGTTCGATGAATGATCGTGATGACGGTGGCGAGATGTTAACTACCTCGCCTGGTATACAGGAGGTCGTGTGTCCGATCCCAACCCTGACGCCTGTATATTTGGAGTTTACATGTTCTCTCCGTGTTCGCGTGGATTTTTGTTGGGTTCCCTCGGTTTTTCCCTCCGTATTTAGAATCAACACGCGTTTAGAGTATTTGGCTGCTATAAATTTCTACATGATAAGCCACTTTTCTGAGCTACCATTTGTGGCCAAGTTGCTTCTGAAAAATATCTATATAGCTCGGTGGGTCTTACCTGGTTAAATTAAAATAGTAAGAGTTAGTTTCTAAAATCTATTTCTTTTCATGACTGCAGATGTAATCCTACATACAACTGTTACAAATCCTAACTGATAGCATCTCAGACTTAGAATTTGATACATGTTATTGTAAGTGTAAGCATCTATTTCGGCCCACGAATCTGCCCGGCAGTTAGTGCACAGTGTGCAATGAAAGGCGGTGGCAAACTTTCCCTCATCCATAATTTAAACCCTAATGTACAATGATAATTGTATTTTTTTTTTGGGACAAAACACTCTTAACAGCTAAAAGAGATGGTTTTATCTTCCGCGGCAGACGTGGGTGAATTGTTCCGCTCTTTGACCTAAAAATTTCGCAGAGAGGAAATTTTTCCTAATTTACATGTGAACAACTGAGGCGTGAAGAGCTGAGCCTGGTTCACCTCCCACGCCCCCCGGCTCTCTCCACCCATCAGCGGCAGTCTCAGCAGCAGCCGGCCCGTGGGGCCACGCGCTTTAAACGGGGTCCGTTTCCGCATAAGCCCCGTGCGTCATCTCGATTGCGTGCTAACAAAACAAGCCGCGTCTTGCCAAACAAACGACACCTGAGCGGCCACACGGCGCAGCGCGATTGTCCTTCATGCTTGCCGCCGAGGGCTGGTTCGGTTCGCAGTGACGGCCCACTGTAACTCGAGACCCAAGGTGGTTTTTAATCTCTCCGAGGCCAGCCACGTCCACACCGTCGCGGGGCTGGCGCCATGGCGAGCGGTGGCTCGACTCTCGGCTGCAACGTGGAGATATCGTGGAATGAGGAATCTGTAATTAAATGCTTTTTTTCCCCCCCTCTCGCTTTCTTTTTACTCTCTTTAAGAAATGTAGGAGAAATGGAACGTATCTTTTTTTGGTTATTTATTACAGTACCTGCAAAAATGTTTGCCAAGTAAACGGAGATGACGACCAGTGTTTCGCGTTAATTAGGCCTAAATGTATCTTTCCTACGATGTTTCCGACTTTGATGAAGGGCATATTGCCTGAACAGTTCGGACTCTCTTCGCAAGGACATTTTAGTTGACGTTAAGCAACACTTGAGGTCGGTCGTCTGCTTTCGTGCTCATTAAGGAAGTCGCTTTGTTTATTTGTGTGTGTTTTTAAAAACGATCCTTAAGAGTTACGGCTCTTCTTGTGCAGCTGTCGCAGGTGATCGACCTCGAGGACCCAGCGGGCGATGCGGGGTCTGCGGCGCAAATCCCTCCGCCGCAGCCCTCGGCGCCCGTGCTGCCCTCCGCTCTGCCCTCCGCTGCCCACGAAGGTCAACCGGGTGGGGCGGCCATCAACCGGACCAAGACGCTGCAGAAGCAGCAGACCTACAAGTGGTTCAGCGAAACGCAGGCACAGCGCGTCCTCCACAACGGCAGCATGCCCACGTGGTTCCACGGCGTCATCAGCAGACGGTACGTGCTGCTCGTGGCGCCCGTCCGTTTGTCTGTCCTCTGGAGGAGGTGGCCACCACCAGTTGACGAACATCTGAACCAGTCTTGGGCCCTCCCCTGTGGTCGACTGGGCCTCAAAACGAGTACCTGGTGCGGCGTGTAAACTTGTCACTGGGGAGACGAAGGTTGTGGTTCCGGCCACAACCTAAACTTAAAATACTGTTTAACTGCAACACCGTTACTGTACAACATCGTGTCTTTGTTGTCAGTAGTGCTACTTTGTTGAAGCACTTATGCAAATTATATTCTAGAAATAGCAATATAATTTTTTCAAGTCAAGAGACTCCACATTTTTGCGACCACACTGTACAAATAGTAACAATAACTGCTTCTCTTTTGATTAATGACCGTTGTTTCATATGATTGCATTTATAAAAAATATACAGCTTTACATACAGTATTCCATTTGTTTCACGCCTTCTGATGTTGAACGCCGGGTTCAGGAACGCCGAGGATTTGCTGAGCCAGAAGCAGCTGGGCTGCTACCTTGTCCGCGTGAGCGAGACTCAGAATGGATACGCTCTCACCTTCAAGTAAGACTTCTCTTATTCATATTCTTAGGTTTTTTCGGTAAAGTCACGTAGGTAAAACATCAAAATTAATAAAAAAAAAAATAAAGATCACGACGTTTCGGAGGCAACACAAGTCTCCGTCATCAGGTGGGACCGTCACAGCCAGATTAGCTGCATCAAGTGAGGCAATGATTCAAGATGTAATGAAACGAGCGTCGTTCTGTTGCGGCATCTCTGTTGACCACGGTAGTTGCCCCTTTCTCATACCGGTGGTGAGTTGCTTCCCACGTTTCACCTTTTTGAAGGTTTTGAAAGTTGAGAATCGCGATGCTGAAATCAACCATTTAGAGGATGATAATTGGTTTTTTACCCTTTTATGTGGCAACAAAACTGACACCTTTTTTACAAGGAGTCATGTTTGCATAGACCACAATACCTGCAGTCATAATGCGAACAAAAAACATAACTCTGATAATGTGCACTGTCCTTGAAGTTGATTGGTCCACACCCGAGACAGCTTTGCACATTATCAGTTATGTTTTTTGTTTGCATTCCGACTGCAGGTATTGTGGTCTATGCAAACATGACTCCTTGTAAAAAAAAAGGTGTCAGTTTTGTTGCCAGATAGAAGGGTAAAAAAACAATTATCATATTTTTTACTGGCAAATGAGGTTCCAATGGTGCATTTAGAGGATGTTAGGTATTGGGGTAAATTTGCTACAGGCCATGGTGGCAATGGAAGCCCAATTGGGGGGATGACCTTAAGGTTTTACAAACGCTTAAATCCTATATACAAAGTGTCTTCCAGTTGTGTATTAGACTCGTGGCAAATAAGTGTTCCTCCGGAATGGCACAGGTAGTGGCGACCCTCGTGGTGCAAAAATATTACCGCAAGGGCAGAAACGTTCGGCAAAGCTGAGCTTGGCTTTCGAGATGGTGGCGGCTCGCAGTCCGCTGAAAATGAACGTGATCAGAATGTCGTGAAGTAATTGTAAGGACGCGCATTTTTGCGTGGGGGAAGTGATTGCAAACGAACGTAGCACAAAACCCGCAAGGAAAATAAAATTAACCCGTAAAAACTAAGTTTTTCACTATAAATCCTTTATATGCATGGCGGCTAGAGTCCTCTCGTCCTCTGGCTTGAGATGGCTGCCACCTATGGGTCAGATGATTGCCTGCCACCATTAAGCAATTGGTAATTAAATATAATTTATTTTTTCCTAAAAAGTGTAAAATTTTGGAAAAAAATTTTCACGAAAATAAATTGTCACGCACAACGAGTCTGTGTGCAAAATGTCAGCTCGATTGGATCACGGGAAGTGGGTTAAAAAACGACCAAAAGATTTGCACGGTCGTAAGCGCGCAAGCAAGCAAGCAAGTGAACTTAATATAAAGGATTTAAAAATAACGATCCAATTTGTTTTTTTGCCGTTCATAATTCGCGTCGGCCGCTCTGTGCATACTCTTCAGGGGAGCCGACCGCTGCCGCCACTACATGATCGTGCAGCGGCCCACCGGCAAGTACATGATCGTGGGGGAGCAACGCGTGCACAACAGCCTGGCGGCTCTGCTCGACTACCACCAATCCGTTGGCATTCAGCCCTACGGAGAGACCATAACGGAGCCCTGCGGGCAGGTACGGGTTGGCCCTGTTTGGTTTTGTATGGCCATTTGAAAGGTGCTGTGGAAACATTGAACGCCTTCGACAGTGAGAACTGGGGAAAAAAGTCTGCCGGAGGAATCGCTGAAATGATAATAAATGAATTAAAATACTAAGTGTCCGACACCATTGGCAATTGTGCATAGGAACAAATTGTATAACAACTCTAACTGCCCTAAAGAGTATATAGTCGGTGAGGTTTTAGGCAATGTCCCTTATTTATGGCAGAAAGATATCGCTTGAGGTTGCTTAATGACTGCCAGATGATGGCAACGTTGGTAGTTCCGTAATGATGCATCATTTCACGACGCGCTTAGCAATTTATTTGTCGAGGAATCCAATAATTCTTGAATTCACGTGATTCCTGCAGCCACTAGGATCACTGCCATATGCAGATTATTTTTTTTCAAAACAAGAATAATAGCTTGAATCAAATCGCGATTGTGAATCGTTACATATTATCGCGAGGGCAGGTGAATCGTTACAGGCCTCGTCATTGGTCACTCTAGATCTATTTATAGGTAAATATTTACATCCAAATTAAAAACTCTTCATCACAAAAAATGAAATCTTATCAGGCCCAATGGTGTAATATGTGACGTCCCCATCTATTATTCACTCTTTGTTTCTGGCCGCTATGATGAAGGGCCATTGCCCAAAACGTCACCGATTATATGCGTTTCCTTCTAAGGCAGTGTTGTTGATGAACGTGAGCTTTGTTTGTTTTTGTCATTGGGCATCTGGTTGGCTCACCACATAGAGGTCCCGGTTTAATCATGGAGCGGCCGCTCATCGTTGGAACCCGGGATGCCAGCGGCACGTTGGTGTTGCGTATCGGCATCCTTAGTTATCAGCCAACCCGCCCTCCTTTTTCATCTTTTCTGTTCTATGCACATGAGTTTAAAGAGAACTCGCTCTCACCCTCTGCTCCCTTGGCGCATTGCCTCCCCCGCGACAGGAGTGCGAAAAGAATACCGACTACGCGGAACTGATGCAGTTCGTAAGCAAAGCAGTGAAAGATGACGGGAGCCCTCGGCACCAGAAGCAACATCAGCAGCACCTCTCCTCGTCTTCCGGTCTCCTGGGCAAGCTCCCAGACGAGACGACGTCGTCGTCCGTGCAGAAACACCACCCCCAAGTTAGGTTCATGATCAGCGAAGCCCCCGGGACGTCGCCCCTGCTGCCAACTGCCCTGCCCGGTGCGACGGCAGCAGCAGCAGCAGCAGCGCCCAGCCGCACGACGGAGTTGGCCCCCGACGAGGGCACGGGGGGGCGGCTGTACCCTCGTCTCTACCCGTCTATCCGTCGCGCCCTGCACGAGCTCACCAGCCAGCCGATCAGCGTAAGCGCACGTGGAACATGGGTGCGGGAGGGTTGAGGTTTTTTTATTTTCTTTTCGCGACTGTGCTTTCGCTGTCGGTTCATGAGAGGAAGAGAGAATCCATTCGGAACTTGCGCATTCCCCCATGTGCTAGGCAATGGCCTGCTGAGGTGGTTTTTAACAGAACTACTTGTGAGGGCCCTTCAAATGACATTTTTACAATTGATCTGCATCAGTTTTCTGTGGATCTACTGCTGTATGAAGGCCTCCACACTGTTTTTAGGAATTATTAAAGTGTCGCATCTGGAACTTTCTCATGTTTTTACCTTAACAACTGTTTGAGTGTTGTTGCTATGGAGATCTCCGTTAAATTGCTCCTCGACTTTTAAGATGCTGTCTCTATCACGAGCTATATGGTTCCGTCTTTCTCCCTAAGGGCCACCATGTGTGAGAGGTTTGGGGTCGCCTGAGGGTAAGAGCCTCATGTCAGGTGTGTATCTTCACCAACCCGCACTGACCAGCGTTGTGAAGTACGGTCTCACATATCTTGTCCCCCCAGTGCCACAGTCTCATCACGTGCAGCTCTGATTCGATCAAAGGCGATGTCAGCAGTGTTTATGTACAAGTGGGCAATATTAATCCTTTCCCGTTCCGATGATTCTACGTACGTACATCTACGGCATCCGTTTTTTTTTCTATTCTGTTCTCATGAAGAAAAACTAAAATAAAATAACTTAATCCATACTGAGCCTCCCACAAGGCCATGTGGGAGGGCATGTGGCACAGTTTGGCGCCAGCTATCATAGAGTGCGGTCTTGTTTCTACAGCACTTTGCGGTGAGTACAATGTCTTTTATAAACAACGGCGCTATGCCTCTCTGAATAAAATTAACGCTGAAACGCTTAGCGCATTCGGAGATTCATTGGTGAACGGGACCGACCCTGCAACTTGCAGACGTCTCAGAACGGTAAAGGGTTAAGAATCGCTGGGTAAGCACAGGACGTTACAACATTGTAATGGGCGGATAATGAAAAAAGGAAAAATAGGTCACTGGGTTGGTAGCACAATGCGCGATAACTACTCTGCCACCGATCCTCTCTCAGGCCTTAATAGGTGCTTGCTTAAGCGTGCTTTGTCCAACAGTCTATAAATGGACATATAGGAGCTCTTTGTCATTTATCTTTCCATATAAAATGTATATACAAGTAATGGTCACGTCACCAGAGAGCTTGTGCCAGGCTAGGTGCACTTTGAGTCCACTGTGAAATATATATACACACACACATCATGCACGCACATTACGGCCTGCAGGGCATGTGCAAACCATTATATGCTCTTGTAGTACCACACAGGTTACTTTTCAGTCCATGCTGTTGATTCCCCTGGGTTAAGACTGCAGAAGTATCAACCATAAAATAGACCATGTCTGCATCATGGTGGACGGTACCATTTCTGAGAAGTTATTTGAAAAGGAGTATGCAATGTTTGCCGGCGTTGTGGTCCACATTTGAAGAATTATATACAAACTACTTAATTGTAAAAACCAACAGCAACATCCTTCTCACCCCCCCCCCCCCCCACACTCGGGGAGATGGTAACTACCTCGCCTGGTATACAGGAGATCGTGGCTTTGATCCCGACCCTGACACTTGTATATTTTGAGTTTGCAAGTTCTCCCTGTGGTCGCATGGATTTTTCTCTGGGTCCTCCAGTTTTTCCCTCCACATTTAGAAACATGCGTTAAGAATATTCGGCTTAAAATACATTTCCAAATGATAAGCCACTTTAATGAGCGATCATTTGTGGCCAGGTCGCTTGTGAAAAAGAACTATGCAGCTCCAGTGGGCCTTACCTGGTTAAATAAAAACTAGTTGAGTTTACTGGCACACGAATGCCCACTTGCAAGTCGTTGCTGTGTTCACCTTGTTCTGCATAGGGACGGTGGCCATCGGGGGTTCCGCTAGGCTAAAACAAATGCACTCTCAGACGTTTGTTAGGTTATGGACCACGCTGTGATTGCGTATTGTTGCTTTACCTCAAATCTGTTCACAGGGACCAGACGAAGTCCCGCCACTGCCTCCGAAAACGTACCTGCAAGGGCCTCAACCTACACAAGTCGCCATGGTCCCTGCCATCCCGAGCAGAGAACCGCTGACACCCCCTTTCTTCGAGCGTCCACTGAGCGCGCTCACCCAGGCATCCGCCGGCCACTGGCAATTACCGAGCCCGGTGATTCCCTCCCACAGCGCCGGCTATCAACAGCGGTCCTCAAGTGGGAGGCCGCAGATACTGACGTCCTTCAGCTTCGATTCGATCGATCAGCACCGGCGCGGCGCACCCGCCGCGAACTTTAACCCCACGGTGGTGGCGAGTCCCAAGATAGAAGCCAGGGTCGTGATGGCGAGCCGTCCACCGCAGCCTCTGCCTCGGGAGGATGCTGGGGGCCAGATAGACGGCGACTACGCGGGACTACCGGACGAGTATCACAGACCGCCGCCATGTGCTCCTGGTTTTTAACATTGATATTTCCCCCCTTCATCGCCCCCCCCCCCTCCCGGTGTGCTTGAGGAACTTTGGTAGAGTTTGGAGGTTTGAGGCGGATGCAGCGAGGTGTGAAATAATGGTCGTTTTGTTGCAACGTTCGCAATGCTACCGTGTTGGTTTTCGCAATTGTGCAGTGCGCTTATTTGGGGTGTCCCGCGTGTTGTCTGGGACGACGTCCGACGTTTCGCTCCACGTGCTGCCAGGAGCTTCTTCAGGAGCTGGATGTCAACATCGTGCCGAACGGCACGCGGGTAAAACCCAAAGGACACTTCTTTGTTGAAATATGAATTTGCTGCGACGGACACAATCGCAGAGTACAGCCCGGTGCATTTAGTCTGGTGAAATAGACAAACTTTTAGCCATTTAAACTACTTTTGGTTACCACTCCACGGACATTTTTCACAACCGATGTACAAAATGTAATGTGGAAATGCATTATTCCATATGGACTCGTATTTTATTGCCATATCGTGCCTTGGAGATCGAGGAAGTGTGAAAAAAGTTAATTTTTAAGAGTTAATTTCGTACGTCTTGAGTTTTCTCATGGAGTGTCATTATATTATAACCTACTCGGAGCCTGCCATAGATCACTTTATGCCAGTTAACATATTCTATACATATTTCTACACTTTTTTTGACGAAGGAATTTTACGTTAATATTTTTTAACCAGATGGCATCACTTTGTCAGTTTCTCACAACTGTCGGTGAAATTGCTCGTCAGCTCATGAATTCACACCCCCCTCCCCCCCCATTGAATGGTACGTGGAATTAATATTCGATTTTACGAAACAAATAAACAGTAATATATGTAATTAATGGGAGGGAATTTAATATTTTAATATTACATTGTCATAGCATTGAGCTTCTCTTTCTCTTGTTTTCCTTACCCCCCCGCCCCCTCCACACAAACATTAAGATCACGTGAAAACACAGTGGGCTGGTGAATAGCATCAGGATCGGTGATGGCGAGTAGTACTGTGCTGCTTTCTATAATTGTGATTTGTGGGATTTCTTGTTTTAATACTATTTGTTAAGTGTTCATGTTGAATTTACAAAATAAAGATTTATATTTCAGTGTTGTGGCCATGTGATGTTGATGATGAATGTTGTAGTAAGTGTGATATAATGTAGGTAAAGGTGCAGTCCTGCAATGCCTGGCTCATGCCACTGCTCTTTGGTTCTTTCGGTAAAGTCACGTATAAAGATAAAATAATAAATTAAATAATAGCATACGACGTTTCGATTGCAACACAAGCAATCATCATCAGGTATAAATGAAATAGCAAAAATCTAACCATAAAACTATAGACAGACATATAAGCAGACAGATATCACCAAGATACATAGAGAGCAACACGTCGGCACACAGAGAGAGAGAAAGTCTCTGTGACGAGGCCTTAAATAGAGAGAGGGGGCGGGGGCGGAGAGAGGGAGGGGGTTAGAGAAAAATGTTGCATGTCAATGAGTAGTACGACGGGTGGTAAAGTAAGCAAGCTTGAAAATTAGGAGAACGGGAGAGAGACACATTAAATTAAAAAATCTAGCAAAATATCGAAATGTAATGTAATGCAACACAGAGGGTCGGTTAACACAACGCATAGCCTGGTCGATTACGTATTTCAAAGATTGCGAAGTTAGAATTTAAGTGTGAAAATTCCAAAGAGAGACAAAACACAAAACACGAGATCATGCCACTGTTGAGGTGGAGGGATCTTAAACACGTGTCCATTGTTTCAACTGCCGCGCCCGGAGATCGAATCGAGCCAGCGCAATGTGGATTGCAAGTCCAGTGTGATAATAGCCAGTACACCACGGCAGTTATCCCCATCTTACATATATAATACGGAATTATATTGCAGTCTTATGGCCGTGGAAGTAATGACGTGTAAATGTGATATGTGCGTTGATGAAATGTGGTAGCCATTGCATGAGATGTAAATGAAATGATTTGGATATTTCTTGCTGTAGTTGCACAATGATTCTATTTTAAAATCTCAAGTTGGGTGGAGAAGTAGCGATGCTAAGCTGACGATAGGAGCGCCACTGATGTTCACCATTCGCAATTGATATCGTCCGTGAAAAATCTGCTTTTAATAATTACAGAGTGATCATTAGCTCGTCCGTCTGGATGCCACTGGGAGTAGTCCTCAACTCGCAATCGAATGTGGACGTGAATGATGCTCAATTGATATATGAACACTTTTTTTTTCATTAACAGATATTGAGTAGCAAACAACCCTCCCCCATTTAGGGATGGCTACACGAACTGATGTAAATAAAAAAATGCATTGACTCGCAAGGCCCTTGACTTCAAGAGTTCCAAAAGGTCGACTCGATCCATCATCAGACCTGTAGAGGGTGGATAAACCATGTACAGCTGTGGGGTGTGAACAGTCGTTGAAATCGAAATCCTGGGGAATCATGGCTTTTGTCAGTTGCGTAATATTGCACCATTCACGACCATGCATGAATTTACATGCAGTTCTCCCATATCCTGGCATTGTGTGTGTGTATATATGTACCCCTATTGAAATAACCCTGACTCAATGAGCTTTTAATAGAAAAGCTATAAACGTATGTGTACACATTCCCTGACGCATCTATACACATACGTGTGTACCTTGAATTACCTGCATAGTTACGCTGTACAGTGTTCCATCGGGTTGCTAACGGTGGGTGTTTGCATATCTCTGTGCATTGTGTGAGCAGACTAGGCAAACCTGCTGAGCAACTCTTAACACGCGCTCCACTGACATTGGCCCTCGCTTTAGTCTGCAAAGCAGTTTTTTTTCTGCCCAATTGTGTCCCATTCTACTCTCCGCTCAACTGTAAATCCTGGGTTTCCCTTTTATTTTGGGACTGTCCGCTGTCGTGGTCTGGTGGAGTATCAAGGTAGAACATCTAACACAGGGCCTCCAAACACATTTGCACATAGCAAACAAAGCCTCGGTCAAAGGTGGGCACAAACTGGTGTCGATATAGAATCATTTTTATCCAATGTATCCACATCTCGAGTTTAAATTGTGATTTTTCTTTTATTTGTGGGGCATGTGCTGCCGGGGTCTGGTTGGGTCAAGGTCAAGAGACGAACAGAGGGCCTCCAAAACGAATAATTTGACCTTTGGCATCATAAATTAGAATAAAAGGGGCCTTATAACCATAAGTCTGAGAATGATGGTTATCAAATTCCATTTTGTTTGAAGATGTTTCGTTTGATGTTATCTTACGTAATTGTGACGTTTACATTTGTTTTGGCTTTGGCTGCTGCCAGATTTATAAAGCTGTGCAGGGTTAATTTAACATCATTTGACTTTACAACCAGATCTGCTGGTAGAGATATAACATTTCTATTAAAATCCAGAAGTAGATTACATTATTGAAGGACAGGCTGAACAAAAACATGTTCACATGGGAGATCTATTTGCCTGAAATGAGTTGTTTTAATAAAAAATAAATTGTGTTTCTAGTTTATAATAATTGATTTTGATTTTTATATTGACAGAGGTCAGTTGTTTTCAGCCAGTGCATAATCACTGCCAGTGTATTTTTAATAAATATTCTGATAACATGTTTAGAGTATAAGCGCACCTTGTTATAAGGCATACTTATATCAGAAGTAATGTGCTTGCTTGTATACAGGGTGGCCCAAAAGTAAGGACACGTCTGGTAATGTAATTTATATTCGCGCTTGCATGAAAATCTTTAAATTGTTTGTTCTTTCAGTTAATATTTTATCTATTGCGTTACTATTTAGTCTTCCCCCATATACAAAACTCGACAAGAACCCGGAATGTACCGAGACTATATAATCGATGGATGTTCAAAGATTACACGTGTAATCTTAAAAAAAATCGTCAATTTCTAAAGAGAATGTATGCATGCGGTAATGTGAGTGGGAGTCGGTTTTCACATTTGTTCAAGTAAATTAACCCTATGTGCCCTGACCTTTGGGCTACCCTGTATAAGGCGTGCTGTTATATAGCTTCTGTTCAAAAATAATAATAAAAGAGAATTGGGATTTTCAAGATTTTTTGGGGACTTTCTATAATTGTCCACGATAGAACCACACACGATGGAATAATGCTTTGCAGGCGATGTCATATGGTCCTTTGTGTCAATTTCACATAAAGGTGGCACATGTTGATGTTCATGTCACATGGCATCACTGCCTGGGCAGTTGCAGGAGCCGAACCTTTGACCCCGCGCAAACAAGCAAGCTTGCTAATCGCATGGCTGTCAAAATGTTCCATAATGGCCCGGTTATAGGTCAGGCATGTTTTATTTAAACCAGGGGGCAGCCCATTGAGACAACACATCCATCTTGTAAAGGGACACATGGGAAAATACAGGGTAATGGTAGACCGGGTATTGGGGTCAGCAGTGGGGCAGTGTCCAGCACCTTGTGCTATGAACCCAGAGGCCGGAGTTTGATTCCTGGCCACGGCTAACATTGACGATTAACAGCTCCTACCCCCCTCCCCCCATCACAAATTTAGTCTTGCCAAGCGTGGTGAAATATGGTCAAACCAACCCCCCGTGACAGAAATGCTGTGTGGAGGCCTTCATTCGGCAGTGGATTGATAAAGACGTGTCCATGGAACGAGCAAAGACTCTGACCGAGGTCCACACAGTGAACGGGGATGTGAACCACACTGCATCTGAACAGCGGCGCGGCTTCCACTGCCTCCACCACCTCCACCGAGGATTACGATGCAGCGCACCGCAGGGGAACAGGTGAGATTTTGAGAGTGGCTGGGATGAGCTTATAGATAAAATGAAAGCTTGAGTACCACGCACAAACATCCACAGCCCTTGGATGAGGGCTGTGGAGGTTCGGGGGGGGGGGTTATTTGACCGTGCTCCACCATGCTCGCCGGTGTGGGAGGGTAATTGAAGGTGGAACTATAGACAACGTAGAATATAGTACAATCTTGATTTGAGGCTTTCGTGACTGCAGGAATCTATACTCTCTGGTTCTCTCGGTAAAGTCACGTAGATAGAAAAAATATATAAAAGAACACGACGTTTCGGTCGCAACACAAGCGTCCGTCATCAGGTGAGAAAGAAAGAACGAACCAGAGATAATGTAACATAGTACAATACAACAATGGATTTTTGTCTGCACCGTCCTCTGCTGCGAGTGTAGCTCCGTAGCAGCAGTAGCCTATAATACCTGGTTTTCTACGCACGGTGGTGGCACGTCCACTCACTATCCTGGCTCATCGGTGCGCAAATTCTGCAAGTGATGAAGGGGGCTATAGAGACGTCTGGCAAGTCAGCGTTATTTTTTTCAAAACATTCTTTTAAACGATGATGGAACTTCGGGGTGGCGGGGTGGGGGGGTCCTGCTCATTACAGGGACGAGCCTCAATTTCACGTGCGCAGTGACCCCTGCTCTGGCTTCGGCTCGGGTCACACTTCCGCATCACCCGAGCGTGCCACTGCCGTGCCAATTACGAGTGCATTATTTCTGCTAAGTGGTGGATACATCCGCTGATTGATAGCTACCTGGCGTGACCCCCCCCCCCCCCCCAAAAAAAAAAGAAACTAAACGCAGGCATGTCGGCGAAAATGAGGGAAACATAATTTCGGTGGATTAATTTTGAGATTAATGTTATGGAACTCCTGGATGTTATGTTAATGTCTCTTCGTTGCATTCCTTTAAAGTGCTTGTTATTTATACAGCATATGTTGTTCCCGTCATTTTGCCGAGAACATGTATTTATAATGTTTTAGGTCGTTAATCCCATCTGTCTGTCTTGAAAGTGCTCGGGGTAAGATCATGTGACTAGGTAACTGATTCGTGTGTGATAAATGAAAAGTTTTTATCCAAAACGTGATGTTTTGAGTTTCAGTTAATGTGTTGTCTCATTTGAGTAAGCAGCAGAGTCTGCCTCTGCTGTTGCAGGTGATGACGTGTGCAGGTGGACTAATTGATCATTGGAACACAAATGCAACGTGGCGTAAAATCCATGAGCCCAGCTCAGACATTTTCACCTGTCGGTACCACCTGAGGTGGCATAGGTTTAGCGGCTCCAATTTGTTCATGTGGCCTCAAATATCACTCACCACTG